GCCTAAACATGGGTATCCAGCATCATCCGTCCCTAGCTATCACACTGTGGAAATGGAAAGGGTCAAGCTAGGAGAAACGCCACCGTTTGAGATGCTGGCGCTGTTTGTCGCCTGTGCACCGAATAACTGGTAAGTTGGGCATTTTTGGTGTAACTCATCAAGCTTGGCCATCACCATAATCCTTGTATAGACCAGGTCTGGAGGATCTGATCTGCAGGCTGACCCGAGCTGAGGTTGAGATGCCTACCATGTCCATCCCTGATCGTGAGCTGAGGAGTTGTAGTATATATGAGGCATGACCGCAAGTTCGTGATGCTTCTTCTTTCCTCTCTTCACCTTCATTCTTCTTCTTCTTCACGGTGTTTCCGAGTTGTACTGCAACCCTTTTTCTTCTTTTCACTTATTCATTTCTTCATTGATTGAACGACATTCCTTACTGCTTCTTGAAGCATATACACTCCCTTTTCACGACATCAATCAACGACTTCAACCCTAGCGGTATTATAGCAGAACTGGTCTTCTGCTCCCCTTCTTTTGTGTTTATCGAAACGATTTCTTTTTGAACTATCCACCATGAAGCTTCTTGCTACTGTTCTCGGCCTCGCTACTGCTGCAAACGCCCACACCCTCTTCACGACTCTTTTCATCGATGGTGAGAACCAGGGCGACGGTACCTGTGTTCGTCAGCCAAAGGATGCCTCCAAGGCCAACAGCCCCATCTACCCCATCACTGGAGGTGTCATGGCCTGTGGTAAGTTGATCTTTTGAGTAATCTTGACTTAGAGATAGTAACTAATGAGGAATTCAGGTGAAAATGGCGACAAGCCAGTCAAGTTCACCTGCCCGGCTCCTGGCGGTGCTCAACTGACCTTCCAATTCCGTGAATCCCCCAGCTACGCCCACCCGGGTGCCATTGCCGAAGGTCACAAAGGCCCTTGCTCCGTCTACATGAAGAAGGTCGACGATATGAACTCGGACTCTGCTGCTGGCGACGGTTGGTTCAAGGTCTGGGAAGATGGCTACAACGTCAAGGAGGACAAGTGGTGTACCGACACTCTCCGATCCAACGGTGGTCTTCTTTCAGTTGACCTTCCCACTGGTCTCCCTGCCGGCTACTACCTCGTCCGCCCTGAGGTCCTTGCCCTCCACAACGCTCCCTCAGGTGACCCTCAGTTCTATCACAGCTGTGCCCAGATCTTCATCGAGAACGGCCCTGAGGGTCCTCTTGAGATTCCTGAGAAGTACGAAGTCAGCATTCCTGGCTATGTTGACAAGAAGGACCCCGGTGTCACCTACAACATCTACAGCGACAAGGGTGAATATCCTGTTCCTGGCCCTGAGGTTTGGAACCCCACCTCCAAGGAGACTGGCACCAAGGAGACTCAGAAGGATGGTCTTGTCCCCAAGGACTGCCTTGCCAAGAACGCCAACTGGTGCGGTAAGCCTCTTGCGAAGTACTCCGGACAAGATAACTGCTGGGCTTCGGCCAAGAAGTGCTGGGATATTGTTGGTGACTGCTGGGACAACGCTCCCCCTACTGGTGGTAAGGGTTGTGATACCTGGAATGACTACTGCAAGGAGATCAATGCCGCTTGCAAGGCCAAGGATTTTGAAGGCCCTCCCAACTTCACTGGCAAAGAGTACTTTGCTGAGGCTCCTGGTCCTATTCCTGCTCCGTATGGCGACTTCGAGGGTAGTGATCTAGCCACCGATGGCAAGAACTCCAACTCCAACGACAAGCCTGCTAGCAAGGAGACCTACCCTGCCCCATCGAAGACTACCCAGGCTGCCGCCGCTACAACTGAGGCTTCGAAGTCTGCTGAGAAGACTGAGGCTACCCAAGAGACAGCGACTCGCAAGTGGGACAAGTATGAGAAGAACACCAAGTACAAGGACACCCCTGTTATCAAGTACCCCATGCCAGTTCAGACAAGCGAGCCTACCCAAGAGGGAAGCTCTGGACTCAAGGTCTCTGAGGATGGCCGCTGCGGTGGTGAGACTGGTCAAACTTGCGAGGGAAGCAAGTTTGGTAACTGCTGCTCTCGCGGAGGCAAATGTGGTCGCAAGGCCAAGCAGTGTGAGTGTGGTTGCCAGAATGCATTTGGCATTTGCAAGAAGTAAATAACAAGTTATGATGGGGATTGTGGTTTGAGATTCTTCACTTCTTTTTATGTACTTTTGGATGAATGAATGATTGAACAGTTGAAAGGTCACTTGACCCGATTGATCATGTTCAGCGAGGTCTTTGGAAGCATCTACGAGAAATCAATTGAATTACTCTTATGATGCACTTTATTGATTAAGTTAGTGATTGATACAGTGAGAGCGTAGGCCGAGGAGGATCGTGAAACACAACGAGCCTCAACTTTCTAGATCGCATTAACATGATTATTGAGTTCGACCCTCCAACTTGGTTTCTCTCAAGTCGTACAAAGTTGTGCTCATGTGGCAAAGCTGGACGTAATGAGCGTGGCTGACCTCTTGATAAAGTAAGTGTGTCTCGTGACGATGTCTCTTAAGATGACGTCGTGAACCAGGGGCAAAAGGTGTTGGAAAGTGTGAACGCCCAAGATTTGGAGGGGACAAGCCGTTGTGGAACCCAAGTTTGCAGAAAAGTTAACCTTGAGTATCAAAGATAGACGCCACAATCTTTCATTTTTCAGGGGTAGACACTGTTTGAGTGCTAAACACAGCTACAGATGTTGATGAAAGGCCATCTCTAGGTATGCAAGGTAGCCATCTGTGTTACTCGGAATGCATATTGTACTGTATAAGGATATCAGGATATATAATTGAAACCATCTACGGATGGATGCATAACACAGTTTATGCGCTGGGATGTATTCTCTTTTAGATGGAGGAACATTCGCTTGCCTGTTTCAAGTTTGAGTAAGATGAGATAGGCAGACAAGTAGCGAGAAAATACAATGGAAATGACCATGAGAGAATTCCAAATCACCACCTCACTTACAAAAACTACCTACAGCCTGACACGTAGGCTCTTTTAAACGTTGTCCGCTGCTGAAACACCTCCGCTGGCAACTGAAGCCTTTGGCGCTGCGACAGCCTAAAACTAGTAGAGCCGTGGAGGCGAAAGCCCCTGTAAACACGTAGTGTTAGTTAGTTCGTCACTGCCTAAGCCTGTGCCGTAGAAGTCCTTAATGGGATCTCATTCGCCTGCCCTTCTAGGAACAGGCAAACGGATTAGTCCCGCGGTTCAAGACCAATCCAATTCCCTCCTCCACTTTCACTCCCAGTTCCCATTTCCATTTCCAACTCCATCTCCATCTCCATCCTCAACCCTCGGCGACCATCAGACCTCAATCACCCACGCTCTAGCCTTGTCTTTCTCCTCCTCCGCATCCTCGACCACCGAATTCTCGTCGCTATCGTCGCTTTACTACACAGTAGCTTCTTCTGCTACTCTCACTCTTGGTCAACATGTCGAGTAATCGCAACTATGATTTCCTGGTACGATATCCAAATCCAATCCAATCTACTACCGTTCCTCACCCCCACCGCCCGCCAATCCGCCCCCTGCGTCCCTTGGATTCACGTCGTCTCGAGCCAACCCCGACGAATATGAATATCCCAACTCGCCTCGCGCTGTGATCGCTATTATTCACTGCATGCGACTGCCTCGTAAGAACTCTCGCTGACCCTCTTCGTCATGTAGATTAAGCTGCTCCTGATAGGCGACTCCGGCGTCGGCAAGTCGTGCTGTCTGCTGCGATTCAGCGAAGACTCCTTCACCCCTTCATTCATCACCACCATCGGTATCGACTTCAAGATCAGGACTATTGAGCTCGATGGAAAGCGCGTCAAGCTGCAGATCTGGGATACCGCCGGTCAGGAGCGTTTCCGCACCATCACCACCGCCTATTACCGTGGTGCCATGGGCATTCTCCTTGTCTACGACGTCACCGACGAGCGCTCATTCAACAGTACGTCTCACTATTCTTCACGATACGACTCGACATGCACATTTCACGATATGTTGTTGTGTTGCCCCTCTCCTACCCGATAGCCAAATAGTCTCCCAGCGCCCTTGGCCCAACAAAGCAATGCGCTTTCGAGCCACCTATACCAACCGCAACTAACTAACGCTCTTCTAGACATCCGAACTTGGTTCCAAAACGTCGAGCAACACGCTACCGAGGGTGTCAACAAGATTCTAATTGGCAACAAGTGCGACTGGGAGGAGAAGCGAGTTGTTTCCACCGAGCAAGGCCAAGCCCTCGCTGACGAGCTGGGCATTCCCTTCCTCGAGGTTTCCGCCAAGAGCAACATTAACATCGACAAGGCCTTCTACAGCCTAGCCGCAGACATCAAGAAGCGACTTATCGACAACTCCAAGAACGACCAACCCTCAGCGAGCGGCGTCAACGTCGGCGATAAGAGCGAAGGTGGCGGCAGCAAGTGCTGCTAAACCGAATACCCTAAGGAGTCCGTTTATCTGTCATTCTCCGTTTGCCGTCGTTTTTTATTTTTTTCAAGCTTATTACTTTGTAAACTCGAGGGAGGTGAACACGCTGTGTATGGGTCAGCGTGAGATGAGAGAGTTAGAGAGTCACCATGAGAGTATGGGAAGAGAACCTGTGCTCTTCTCTCCGGGCACGAGGGATGGAAGAAAGGAAATGAAGGAAAGGAGCCGAAAGAGAGGAATGGATGGCTGTTAGTTTGAGCTGGGTGGCAAATATCAGTCACGTTCAAAAGGATGAGTGACGACATTGCGAGAGGTTTTGGTCATGTCTTGTTGTTCCCCCGATCAACCTTCCACCCCATCTTAGAGAGCAAATCCGGTCTGGAGTTTCGGTTTTTGATCTGGGTCTAATATACATTGCTTTCGTTATGTGCATGAGCGGTCGTGGTTGAAGTCTTTGATCGTTTTGCTTGCGATTAAATGCTGAGCCAAGAAGAAAACAAAGAAAGTTCCTTCGTGAAAGCGTTGACGTCTTATTACAAAGAGATCAGAGAATCAATGGGTTGTGAAGCAAGTCTCTTTGACTCTTAGAATTTATTTGTCATCATATAATACAATCGCTAAGTCTCAATGTATGATGCTTTTACACGGTTACGTTGAATAACCTCATCTCCTCCATCATATTCAAGAATGCGCTGATTCCAACTACGAATGAATCGCCATGCAACCTCAGGGCTCTCGCAGGTAAGGACAAACCGTGAATCGAGCTTATGTCGAAAATCGGGACTGCCTCGAGTCAGAGGTACTCGAGCGGTATCTGAGGTGACCTTCTTCTCAAAGTCCATAGTTTCCCTCAGACTGAACACATCTATTTTCCAATTGTGTCCACTTTCTATACCATCCTGCTTGATGATCGCCTTGAGCTCTGACGCTGAGAAACTCGCCTGCGGTAGCTCAAACAGCACTGCACTAGGACTAGCCTTTATGGAAGACTTTTCAACGATTCGGTCCATGACCTTCTGCCATGCCATCTTTCTGGCTCGTTTGTTCTTGGTCTCAGGCTTGGATTCGTACGACCCTGGAAGGAGTGTGAAGCGCTCGACCTCGACCGCGGGGTTGACTTTTTTATTGACGAGAATGGGGTTCACTTTAGTTGCCCAGAGACCTGTCTTGTCTTTCATCTTTGCTTGGGCGAGGCGGAGGAGACGTTCGACTCTATCGCGGTAGATGTAGACGGCGGCGCTAGAGGGGAAGGTTATGTGGTATGTGCCCAGGGGTTCCATAGTCCAAGGGTCACGTTCTTGATGGACTGGCAGTTTTGTAAGTTTAATAATCAATGCCTGTATGGAGGATTTGAAGTACCATGTGTGATGAAGTTGCCCCAGCCAGAGAGGGTACCTGGAGCAAGACGATGGAAGTCAGCGGCGCGAAGCGATGTTGGCAGACCCTCGATGATAAGCATATGTCGAGAACCATTATCCTGAGCCATTGCATCTTTCAACGAAGTGCCAGGCACCGGCACTGGCTTCGATTTCGCATCGACATTGGACAGAGAAGAATTGAGCTTCTCCTGCAATGTTGCCCAGCTCTCATCCTTTTCGGCGAAGTTGGGAAACCTGGTGCTAGGAGAAGAAAGTGATCTTTTCTGGGCGGCAAAGATGGCCCTGGCATTGGGAAGCCATTTTTGGCGGATCATCCGGGCGGTGGATTGTGAGGAAACATGAGATTTGAGGTTGGTGGAAGTGAAGGTTTGAGAGCATCTAGGAGTAGAGTAGCAATTGAGAGTGATGCTGCTTTGCGGGACTCGGCCGAGTTCCGATCCGAATTGGTTTAGCGGGGCTTTCCCTCATGATCGGACGGACACTGATAAAAATGTTGAGTCAGACTCATGATGCTAATATTCTTAAGTTTAGAGGTTTAGAGGAGTATGACTGGAGAAAAAATGACACTTCAGAATACGGTATAGTATTCTAAGCATTTTTAATAATACTATTCTCTTTTGGACAATGCTTGGACGTGGATTTACCTCAATAAATACCTACTTACACCGATAGAGTCGCCCACACAGAGCTCCACTCACCTTAGGTAATCAAGCAAAAATTACCCACGATATCGGAGCAGGAGTCAACCAATGCTTCTGAACTTACCTTGTTGAACCCAACCCTGCCAGACAAGAAACGCAGTCAGCACATCATGGCATCTGGAAACGCACCTGCAGAAAACATGCTTTGGGGCGGTCGCTTCACAGGTTTGTTCTTCATGGAAGTTCAATTGCAATGTGCCTGACCTCAGAATGACAGGCGGCCTCGATCCCCTCATGCTCAGGTACAATGCGAGTATTGACTACGACAAGCTCCTGTTCAAGGAAGATATCCTCGGCAGTATTGCGTTTGCTCGCGCAAACTCCAAGTCTGGCATCATAACCAACGACGAGTTCACTGAAATTGAGAGAGGCCTCAAGGAGGTTCAGAAGGAGTGGGAGGCTGGCACCTTTGTTATCATGCCCAATGATGAAGATATCCACACTGCCAATGAGCGCCGACTCTGTGAGATTATTGGCAAGGAAATTGGTGGCAAACTACACACGGGTCGCAGTCGCAATGAGCAGGTTGTCTGTGACATGCGTATGTGGCTTCGCAACCAGATCCGGGACATTGAGAGCCACCTGGTTACCTTCCTTGATGTTATTGCCGCCCGTGCTGAGGCCGAGGTGTAAGTCTGAATATCCTCCAAATTTAGTAACCCTCCTGACCTTAATAGCGGCATTCTCATGCCTGGATATACCCACCTCCAGCGTGCTATGCCTGTCACGTGGTCGCAGCACCTGTTATCGTATGGCTTTTACTTTGTGAGCGATCTGGAGCGTCTGCGCGAGACTTTGAAGCGCGTGAATAGGAGCCCACTTGGCTGTGGTGCTCTTGCCGGCAATGGCTTCAATATTGATCGCGACATGATGGCTGAGGAGCTGGGCTTTGAAGGCCTTCTATGGAACTCCATGAATGCTGTCGGTGACCGAGATTTTGTCACCGAATTTTTGCAATGGGGTAGTATGTTTATGCAACATATTTCTCGGTGGGCTGAGGATCTTTGTCTGTATTCCTCTTCAGAGTTCGCCTTCATTTCTATTGCCGATGCTTACAGCACTGGAAGTTCTTTAATGCCCAACAAGAAGAACCCAGATGGCTGCGAACTTTTGCGAGGAAAAGCTGGTCGAGCATTTGGCCATATGGCTGGCCTCATGATGGCCCAGAAGGGCCTACCCAGCACATATCAGAAGGACTTGCAGGAGAGTTGGGAACCCATGTTGGATCATGTCAAGACTGTCTCCGACAGCCTTCAGATCGCAACGGGCATCCTGAGCACCCTGAAGATCAGGCCGGACAAGATGATGGCCGCGCTGGACCCCTTCATGCTGGCTACTGATCTTGCTGACTACCTTGTCCGCAAGGGTGTGCCCTTCCGTGAGACGCACCATATCTCTGGGCGATGTGTCGCCAAGAGCGAGGAGCTAGGTATCCCGATGAACGAGCTCTCACTGGAGCAACTACAGGCTATTGATAGCCGGTTTAGGGAGGATGTTTCGCAAGCGTTTGACTACGAGAGAAGTGTCGAGATGAGAGCATCCAAGGGTGGTACTAGTCGGGCACGTGTCCTGGAGCAGGTTAAGGTCCTTAAGGCTATGCTTGCTTAAAGACTCAAAGGGCAGTTTCTTTGGAACTTGATAGATTGTCGAAAACGGCAGGGCTACGGACGACAGATTCGTGGTCTTTGCGGCTGAGCTAGAGACCACTCGGCCACGCCCTTAGACTCCAGGGCTAGCATCCTAGGCCAGAGGTAGACAATGCATCACTCTTCCATAGAGCTCGCAAGTCATTCGATGTTCCTCTACATTGGTCTTAATTAGATGCCACGGCTTCAATCTGGCCAGTGTAGATTGGCCGTGCGATACACCGCCCCCACTTTCACAATTGGCTTAAAGGAACTGAGGGCACTTGTGTAGGAACCCTCGGTTTGCACGTCACGTATAATGAACAGAAAAGATAGAGACCCTATCCCGCTGCTGTGTCTCCGCGCCAAGGCGTCACACGAGTTGCTCAATCACTCACGCATTGACGTGAAAAATACTCACGCAAATAGAAGAGCATTATCTGATCTATGGCTTGCGAATTTGGGACTCAGAAGGCTAAGTGAGCATTTGCATCCTATCTGGAGAGTTGTGATGACTCTTTCCACCCCACTTTGCTGTAAATATAAGGTTGTGGTTGCTGGACAGTTCAATACGATGACTTATCAAATGGATCTGATGATAATCTGATTTGAGTAGCTTAAATGATGCCTAAAGTAGAAAAGAGAATGCTTTTTTAATGTGTCACATTGATATATGTCGTTGAGAGTGGAGACAGATTAGTAGACCTGCTCCTGCTCTATAAATCGGGCCCTTAACTTGGAAAGAGCCTTCAGTCGCACTTGCAGATTTGTGAGTGGAGAGTATTTTCTTGCGCACTAACACAGCAGCAGCCCAAGTAACATCCATTCCTTCCTTCATCAACCACACTCAGAGGAAGCACTTTAAGGCGGCTACTCTCTCGCCGTCTTCATTCTAATCTAATCACATCACATCACATCGACCCTTTCTTTTATTTTCCTTTGTCATGCTTGCGAAAAGTGTCGACGCAAAGGTTAGGCCTTTGGCCAATACAAGCCTCGAAAAGTCGAGCCTTCTCGGTGCCGCTCGTATCTATGTCAGCAAAGATACTCTGCTATCGTTAAACGGAAATCTAGAAAATGGAAAGCACTGCGTTGTCACACGGTTAGAATCTGCCGCCAACAGGGAAGATGTTCCCCAAGAAGAACTGCAGCGAGAAGCCTCGCTATGGATCCTCCCAGAGAAGAACCTCAGCCCAAATGTCGTTATGATGACTAGGGCATTCCAAGAAGCTACAGGTTTCAGGATCGGTGATGCTGTTCGGATCACAGTTGCAGGCACAACACCAGAGGCAGAAGAAGTGGTTGTGCAGGATGTGACTGAAAAAACAGACAAAACAGCCACCGAGTTTGACAGGATGGAAAGATTAGACAAAGACCCAAAGTATCCTTTCTCCTGGGAGAATTCACTTGCAGCTGCCTTTGGTAAGCTTAACTATCGTTATACAATTCACTACCCAACATGCTAACTGCCATTTCCCCAAGATCGTGCTGATCTCATCTTCCCTGGTATGGTTGTGGAAGCAATACACACTTGCAAGGCACGCCGAAACTTCGAGGTCGTTTCCGTAAACTCGCAGACCAATAGCGTTGCAAAATTCAACCATCGCTCGACAGCCATAATCATCACTGATGTCAATTCAACCATCACAGACTTGAACGCCCAGGACCGTGGCGATTTGGTTGTGACTGGTGTCCCTGGAATGTCAAAGCAGATCAACACACTGAATGAATTCCTACTTCTCATCACCCAGCCTTGCAATGTCAAAGGAGATAAAATGTCGGCTGCTTTTGTTATCCACGGTGGCTCAGGCACTGGCAAGACTTTCATTTTGAAACGCATCGCTGCAACGAAATGGGGCAGAGTGCACTGGATTAAGCCCTCGGACAAGATCGCGAGTATCAGGGAAACCTTCAAGCTTGCCCAGAGTCAGCAACCGAGCATCGTATTGATGGATAATTTCGAGTCTCTAATCAGCAAGGATCGCTCAAATCGTGACACTGTTATCGAAACAATAGGCGAAGAACTGGATGCTTTAGCCGAAATCTCACAGTCGAAAAACGCTTACACTCAGGTCGTGGTGATCGCGACCTGCTCCGACTTCTATACTGATATCCCCGAGGAATTGCGATCATCCACTCGATTTCTGGAACACACTCCTCTACCTATTCCTAGAACCCATGAGCGTCAAGAGATACTCGAGTACCTTGACCCACCGATCAAAGGCGACAAACAAGCACTTCTCCTTGAACTGGCACAAATGACACACGCATACAGCCCTAAGGATCTCAGCATTTTGATCCAAACCGCCGTCCGTGGCCGCAAAACCCAGCTGCTTAAGGCAGGTGTCGATCCTGGCGAGGAGCGGTTCTTGGAAAAGTCTGACCTGGAACGAGCGAGAAAGGCAGTTCGGCCCACAGCTATGCGCGATATCAATCTCAACCCTCCTACTATTCATTGGCAGGATGTTGGCGGTCAAGATGTACTGAAAAAGGCACTCAATCGAATGATCAAGTATACAAAGGTGCGATACGGCAATTGTCCATCAAAGTCTACCCACAAGATATTAACCGTGATTTAGAATCCGGAACACTCTCTTCGTCCTCCTCCCAAGGGCCTTCTGCTATATGGGCCTCCTGGTTGCTCGAAAACTCTCTCAGCTCAAGCCGCCGCGACAGAGTCAGGCTTCAACTTCTTTGCCGTCAAAGGTGCCGAGCTTCTTAACATGTACGTTGGCGAGTCTGAGCGAGCTGTGCGTACCCTTTTCGAACGTGCTCGCAATGCTTCCCCATCTATCATTTTCTTTGACGAGATCGACTCTATTGGGGGGCAGCGCTCAGGCAGTGGCTCCGCTACCCGTAGCAGTGGCTCTGTCAATATGCTCACAACCCTTCTCACTGAAATGGACGGTTTCGAGGCTCTCTCAGGGGTGCTTATCCTCGCAGCTACCAATCGACCCGAGGCCATGGACCCGGCGTTAATGCGGCCAGGCCGGTTCGACCAAGTCCTGTACGTCGGCCCTCCTGATGGAGCCGCACGAGAAGCCATTTTCAACGTACATCTCCGAGGTCTACCTCTGGCATCAGATGTCAATATCGCAGATCTTGCTCGACTCGCTGAAGGTTATTCCGGAGCCGAGATCAAGTCCATTTGCGATCAGACCTGCATGCTTGTGCAGGAACGCTATGACGATGATAAAACCAACAAGCTCGAAGTGACTATGTCCGATTTAACAGCTACCCTTGAAAAAACACCACGGAATATCACAAAGCAGATGATTGAGGGGTATGATAAGTGGTCAAGGCAGTTCAAAAAGGTGTAAAGTTTAGATGAGATTATAAAAATCAGCCCATGGTTAGACTAAACTTGTGTTGATTTAGAGGATACAATGAAACTTCTTGAAGTTTAGATATGGATATTACGAGCTTAGACCAGGTGATAATAACTGGGCAAATTTTAGACGAATATTTATTCTTCATCTAGACGGGTCTTTTTCATTTCATCGTTACGAATGGCCTAGGATCAGCACCAACTATCGTCACTGAACCCGACTCAGCTCCTTGCTCGTCTCACAAGGGCCATTGAAGCCATAAAGTTTATGATACAGCTCGACAACTCAACAAATCACCCCTATGCACTACGGCTACTGCTCAGCTAGCAGGCCGCTTTCAAAAGCTCCCCCTTTTTACAATCCTGCCAATCTCAACCTGCAAGCCCTAATTCCCTCCACACACCACATGCCGTCGCTTCTCGACGACTCTATCGCCCAAGTAAGGGGGCAGAATCTCGGTCCAGATAGAGCCCCATTAGACCAGACCAAGCAATGCAAGCAACCCAAACACGTCTAGTCAAAGGGTGCTTGGGTGCAGCAAAGCATATGATACTAAGGATATAGTGACGAATGCCACAAAGATATTTCAAACATCAACGCCGCTTCTCACCACCTGACCATTCCGTTAACCAGCAAGCCGTACTTGCTAAATGTACTTGTGCGGGAGTGAGACCTCAAGTCTGCACTCCCCTTTCATGATAAACCAAAAATAGACCAATAACCGGTACGCCATCGCCTAAAGCAGTGAGGAGAATTTATGACTCCTCGTTGGAACCTGGGCCGCTGCCTGTTTTTAAGCCGGTAGAGAGACTGATGGCGATCTTCTTGCCTCCGGTGGGTGAGTTGACATTGAAGCTTTTGCGTCTTTGCGGGCCGCGAGAGTTGCCTGAGATCGCTGTGACAGAACCGCTGCTGCTGCGTCGCTTGTTTTGCATCATCTTGCTCATCTCATCCTCATCTTCCTCCTCTTCGCGTCGACGCTTCTCTGAAAGTCGCTCAGGTGGTGGGATACCTCCTCCAAGGCTCGAGTCAATAGGCGAGTGCACAGTGTCCGATGCAACGTCGCTGTGTTGGCTGTCCGCTTCTGGTGTTGCTTCAGGATCGGCATTTTCGTCAGTCTCTTCATCAGATGCGTAGTCGACTAGTAGCTTCGAGGTGATCGAACCATTGGTAGATGGCGTCCTTTCTCCCTCTTTACTTGACTGATCGTCATCATCTTCAGGATCAGATGTTGCCCAGTATTCCTCTTGCTCTTGTTCAACAGTGATTTGCTCGGCCATCCTTGTGTTCGCTATGGGTCTCCTACCCATCTCATCTTCGGCTTCCAGGAAATAGTCGACATTAGACGTGTAACCCTGAGTTTGATCATATCTAAGAAGAATCTCCCGAAATGTCGACATGTAGCTCAGCGCATTGAGCTGTTCTCTATAGTTGACCACGAGATGTTTGATCAGGTCTTTGATATTTTCTTTCTTGATAAACTCGAAGAATTCCAGTGATGCTGAGCCCAAGAGGTTGTCTCGGGGCATGGTCTCGATAAGAACTTCAAGAATTGGTCCTAAGACCTGCTTCTCCATAAGATGCTTGATGTAGAATTCATCTTGCATTCCGATCAATGATCGGAAGAAACGAATAGCGACTATAGAAAGTTAGCAAAGTCAACAAACATCGGGTCAATGTTTCATACCTAATCTCAAAAATTTCTCAGGGCATGCGAGAAGCTGAGCAATGCGCTTAACAATATCGTGAGACATGACATGTAACTTGACGCGTAAATAGTGACACCGAATAAAGAATGTTTGAATCTCAATGAGATACGTAAACATTGATGCCTGCTGTACAGTAAAGTTCATGTCCGTCCGCTTCTCCAAGTCCATGAGGGGCTTGAATAGCCTTGGAGCTGATTTGTCGTAGAATTTATTGAGGAAAGTCTCTTGCTGAGGGTCAAGGGCGACTTGAGGTCTCTGTCTTCCCATAAACTCGCCATTAGCCTTTGCAAGGTTCTCGTTATTTTGCATTTGTTGAGGACCAGGGTCCAATAAGACCCTGAGTGCTTCTGAGATTTGAGACTTGACACCAAGATCAACTTCCACCAGCAGAAGATCAATCAAAGAGTCAGTCAAAAGGGTCTGGTTCTCGTGCAGTTGACGGTACAGAGTCTGGCGAATCATTTGGGGATCGTGATCGATGATAGAGATCAGGATATCTGTTGCCCCAACTCTAACTCCCACATCGTGATGTCTAAGCCCGAAGTGGATGACAGATAGAAGTCCATGAGCGATAAAGTTGTTGTATAATGTCTGACGCGCCGGTGGTTGGATATTCTTGGCAATAGTACAACATTGCTGGATGAAGAGCACCGCTTCTTTCTTTCTCTTCTGGTCGCTGTTCGTGGGTCTGAAGATGCCGAATAACTCATTAAGAAAAGCGGCATTCGCTTGCAGGTGTTGAACAATATCGACTTGGTTGAAAAAGATAAGAGAATTGAGGACCGAAAAAGTAGGATCGTCGAGTATCCTAGCCAGGACAACATCCTTTAAGTACTGTAGACGGTATGTCTGGTGAATCTTCCTGCGGATTTGTTCCTCCTCGATAGGTACAACTTCTTTATATCGACCCTGATTGCCCAGCCAGTGTCGATGATTAGCCTTGTGACTAGGAAAGTCAGGGTCGTATTCCAGAGCGCCGACAACACCCAAAACACATTCGTCCGACACCGCATGCTCTATAATTGAGGTGTCGTTGAGAAGAATAACTGTTTTCATGATGTTGCAAAGTCGGTGCAGGTCCTGAAGACTCTCCAGATCCTCGGCCATCTCAACCAGGGGGACAATTTTGCCGATGAAGTCCTCAGCCATAATTGCCTTGGCGAGAGCATCACGGCCATTTGCCGTTGTGCTCATCATCCGCATAGTCTGTTCGATATCTCCGAGATTTCCAAGTTCGGCGTTGGGCAAGTTGATAGCTGGCGGAGCGTCGATAGGAAGATCGTCGGAGAGGCCATCATCTAGGCATTGGTCATCAGTATCGTAGTCGTTAGCTAATGGGTGGTCTTGCATACCGGCTCCGGGCAGATGATTGTGGAATGTCTGTTGAACATTGCTCACAAAACGCCTATTGGGTTGGGTGTTAGTATACAAGTTGTATGTTGCTAATTGACAGTACGGACCATATCATGGCGCACCCCTCGGCTTCCTGAAAACTGAGTGCCATGTCCACTCCACTACTAGGTTCTTGCCATACAATCAGTGTATCTGTGAGTCAGGTTAGACACATGACGTCTTGATGCGCATCTCGGACATGGTGACATGCCTTGCTGTTTCTGGAATCCATCTTCTTTTTGAATTTTTGTTTCTAGTAGAAGACGGTCGGGATGATCCTCTGATTCAACGATGACGCGCGGTTCTTTGCGACCATCCTCAAGCTGCAAGCGCTACAGTCAGCAACTAATCCCGGGCGCAAAAGTGCATACAAAATGCAGAATTATAGGGACATCAACAACATACAGTCTCAAAGCTCGCGCTGCAGAAGCCGGTGCCTCGATCGAACCAGTCATTGTTGCGGAGTTCGTAGACCTTGACGCGCTTCTTATCGGTGGGCTGATGAGGCACGGGCTGTGCCATCATCAAAGACTCGGGCTCTCCCTCGACAGTGAGGTTCGTATACGCAACCAAATCCGGGGCAAGTTCGAGATGCTGTTGCAAGGACAGCTCCGATGGTTCGTTGGGACTCAGAATCGTAAGCGCCGCCACGATTCCTTACGGTGCGCGCAGACGGTGCGCGACGGTGGAACGTCAGGATATCCTGATTATGCGAGATGCGCAGCTGGCGCCGATATCAAAAAAAAAATAAAAAAAATGATACAATAAAAAGCGAGCGAAGGTCCTTCAATGCGCCATGCAATGAGAATCTATTGAGGTAAGGCGCGGGTGAAAATCGGCGGATCGGTGTGCGTTGGCGACACGCCACGGAAGCAATCGGCGGGAAAGAGGGAGCGACGACCGCGGGAAAAGGAAGGCGCGACAAGCGGAAGCGGAAAGCAACTTCGGCGACAGGCAGACAGAGCCGTACAGAACCGTGAACTCGGTATGCGGCAGGCGAGATCCGGAGCCAAGAATTGATTTGGTTCGGTTTTAACGATAAGGGACCGATATATATCAAGGAACCGTTTGAGGCTGTCGAGAAATGCGGATTGAGGTGGGCAATGCGCGTGACCAGGCTGCCAGATGGTGTTGGGTTTAGGCCTTGGGATCCTCTTCGGGGGGGCGAGGGGAGGGGGGCCTGCCTTACCAATGTCGTCTCAGCCACAGTGAGGCTGGTGAAAAAAAGAGCCTATCGTCCAATCAGATGCCGTATATGGTATTGCCACTTTGAAAAAATGACGCGGGTCTGGAGAAGTGAAAAAAGGAAACATGTGGTTCTCGTCCAATCAAAGCTTGTTTCTCCAGTTTCTTATCAATGGCGCAACCAGAGACAAAAGACCCCTGAACCTGTCAAGACATTGTAGAGTGTCGTAATGCAGGCAATGATGCAACCACGACTAAATATATGAGAAAACATCAACAAAAAGATCAGTTGAGTGGCAATCGTTGCTAGGCAGTAAGGCAAGGCTTGTTTATTACCAGGGCAATGGCTCTCAAGTTCGGTCCTTATGCAGATAAGGTAGTCTGCATCGTTTGGTGTCATCATGCAGCGGCCCATCGTCATATGTTGACAATTCGATTGTTTGTTTGTGTTGAGCGACGTTGATTCTTTGTTACAAGCGTGGAATTTACGTGAGACGCGCGTGAAGGCAGCCATTGTAATGCACGTTGCCGATAGACAGAATATGGAGTTTGGCCGGATATGCCTGGATCCTTCCTTCAATCAAACTGGACATGCAGTTGGCTCAGTCTTTGCGTGCTTGTGCTTGCACCAGGCAAAGGAAGCTTCCATCGAATCACATGTTTGTTCCATCTGTCAACCAATTATCAGTAGAGGTTTTTCCAATATTCTTCTACTTTACATAATTCTCCCATCTCTTAACTTTAATCAATCTTGACTGCGATATGTGATCGACAGGGACAATTAAACTCAACTTTTGAGTTAAATCATGACGCTACTCCTACGGCAGGAACTTGTAGGGCCAAGTCGGTTTAAGTGTTTAAGCTGTCATTATTTCGGTGGGCAAGGTTTATTTCCCCGCATCGTGACTTCAGGGAGCATAAAATAGCTTCAAGGGCATTGTGTGATAGTAAATAAAGGGAGGAATGAGGCAGCTATATCGACACCAGCACACAAAAGAGCAGTATCCCTGGGGGGGAAAGGATCACGATCTTGTCGATTCTGAGGTTATGCGCTGATGACATCTGAAAAGCTATTGAACTCAATCGAAAGAGCTCACCATCGATTGCGTGACATGCTCAGCATTCTTATCGTATGTCACTGAGGCGCTAGACGCCCTTATCTACTCGGGTGTCTTTATCAAGAGAGCTATTACTTGACTGCCAGAGCCATGACACCGAGCTCTATCGGCATCGAGCACCAGCACCGGATAGAAATGCGATGGCATGATAGCCTTCTGACTGCGCCATCGAGCTACTTACTAGCTCTTGAGGGCTTCCAGACGTTGATAGTTTATAGTCTAGTGCTCAATAGTAATCCAATCGAGGCTTGTAGTGTTCCCGATATAGAAAAAAGAGGCTGTTGAGCAACGTGGACGTTGTGGTCAGCTGTGTTGGTTCTCTTTCTCTACCCAAAGAGGCATCAGCATTTATCCACGAAGCAGCAGTAACGGTCGCCTCATGACCATAACGAGCTAATTAAAAATCATCCTTTCCCGTAACGGTCAACGCCTTGCCAAGATCATTCAGGAAAGTAAAAGTTGTAGATAGACTATTGAATCTGTAGAGTTGAAGGTGTTGCGATATAATGAGGGGAAGAAAAGCGAGCGCGAAAGCAGCGAAGGCTGAGAGAACGAGGCTTACCTGAGAAGAGAAGGTCTATACAGAAGAGAAACTTATTCTATTCACAAGACACACCACTGTACAATGTATTGTCAACCAACGTTGTTTCATCTCTCGGCGGTTTCTACAATGAAACATCAACCAAAGGCGTTCCCGTTGAACAAGAGCTTTGATGTAAGCCAAGACGCAAATTCCTGAGTCATCAACGAAACAGCTCAAGCAGTTTTCTCAGTCAAGTCGGCCTCACCGCCAGCGGGTTTCGCAATAGCGAAACAAGCCAAGTTTTGTTGGTTCTCCTGGATCTAACCACATCCTCACGCAGCGTGGAATGGAAATGGGGGAGGTTAGATCTGATCTGACCTTGGCAGGGCCAAAAGGCTGAAGTACTAAGCTCTTCTGAGAAGCCTGGTCTGGCTTCTAAAGCTTCTAGCGTGAGACGACCACCTAATCGAGTTTGGGTGAGTTCTTAGGACTGACAAATAGTGGGGGATCATCATGGTCCATCTTGTCTCTGTTGATCCTTTGTATCTTTTCTATGAGTTGACCCATTTGCAGTACCACTTTGATCCGATGCTTACCGCTATATTTTTAAAGCTACGAAGCTCAAGCTCCTAAACCAAAAGATCAACCAAGAAGAATCCGTTGAAGAGTCGCGTTGGTGGCGTGGTGGCTTGGCCTGGGGTACATCCCTGGTGCAGATCTGCTCTGACAGCCAAGGACAGGGGGTCCTGGACTGTCAAACCTGCAGACACACAGCACGTTCCCTCTGGGCTTATGCACGACAATGGAACCTGTTTACGACTACTGCTTCACAATAAAAGCACAATGATGATACGCCAAGCTGCAATACACAATTGCGAGTCAACAGTAAGGCGAAAGAGGCGTCTACATGTTTTAGCCAGGGGCTCAAAAGCCACAGAATCGATCCGAGATGCCGGTAAGTTCACACAATCAGTGAGGCCGAAACACTTCGGGTGCAATGACTGACGCCACGATATGGATTCTGTGTAGATCTAGGCTGTAGAGGAGCCGTATCGTCCTATTTTGGTCAATAATCTTAAGTACAGAGGCACAAGACCGTTGGAGGGTCTCTTTTGCCACTGTTTTTTTTGTGTAATTGACGTAGATGAGGCGTTTGAGATGGAAAACTGTTTCGATATGACGTGTAAGTGGTCTTTTAACACGACGGCATCTCGTATGGTAAAGACCTGATTACGATAGCGCAACAACGGATAAGCCCTTACCTCCACAGACGCAGAAATAGAAATGGATGTAAGCACTGTCACTGAATCAGGCCCTAAAGACTCCATCAGCTTTTGGATCAGCGGCTTCTTCGGGTCACCGAGTGAGCGAAGCCCTCTCGGTATTCTCCACAGCTCTTACACTCAACAGCTGCACCCGGCATCGGCGGTGACAGAAACCCCGAGAAGCGATAGAAATTTAGTCTTGGCAGGTGTACAAACACCAAAAGTGAATGATCTGACACGGTTTACTCAGCTGTCTTTGCACCGCCAGGCTCTCGGTACACCCCAGCCTTGGTGGCGTTTTAAACACACGGTCTGGAAGACTCGGCAACGAGCCACTCAGAGTGTTTGCTCAGAAAAAGGCTGGCTGAGCTAACAAACAGCTTCTTGGAATATTCTTCACGTATTAGTTATACCGAAGGGGCGAGACCGAGGTCGATGCCCCGTTGCAACGCGGTGCCGCAAAAATACACGGATGGCGTATGGCTGCCGATAGTGCAGGGACAAGGATAGGGACAGGGACAGGGTTAATTATGCCTCGATATACAGTTCGATGGTCGTAGAAGCTGTCAATCGAACGGTTGGTGACATTGTTTTTTGGGAGTGGTCGCATTTTAAACCTCGACTGGTGACATCTCAATCGTCGATTTTAGATATGTAGCTTTTCGACTGGTGACATGTTGATTCTCGACGAGTGACATTGCAATCGACGATTGATGACATCTCAATCGATGATTCTGTCCGTCTTCATCAACACGTGGTGTCTGGAAGTTACGGCTTTACACGCGAGGCGGAAAGTAACATGTCGTCTAAGACATGGGCAGACCTGGACCTGGACGATGACATACTGAGGCCACCCTCGCAATACCAGCTCCCTCAGCGTCAAAAGTTAGAATTCACAAAATAATAATGTTTTTCAACATGAGGAGAGTAAAAATCATGCTCTGATTCATGTTGAAAAAGAAAGATCTGCAACATGTGGCTCAACGCTCAGCATAGATAGTTCCTCCATTCCATTCTATAGCCCCTGGATTGCCTCATAGTTGTTTCAACGTAACGCCTCATGAGCAAACACTGGCTGAGAAGGGTTGGATCTGTTTCACGGATCCGCAGGGGTTGGTGCGTCTGTGGCGCTTCACTTCAACGCCCTTTAGACCCTCAGCTTGACTTGTACGTCTTGGGGGTCTCGAACTCAGTAAAAGGTCGGCTATTGCAACGCCGTTGCGGGCCGTCAGGTTCTTCTCGACGCTGATGCCCGCTCAACTTTGACGCCAGTCTCCAGCGCATCACCCAGTGATTACTATCCTCAGTCTCTTACTTGTTATATCTAGACCTCTTCGCCCGTTGAAAAAACGACTCTTTTTTCCTCAGACCATTTCAACAAACCAATGCAATACAACACTAACGCATCCACTTATATATACTTCATATCATATCACATCAGCATCTCTTCAACTTATATATCCACTAACAATCATGTCTATCCTCAGTTCCATCAAGCGTGCTCGCGATCACAAGGAGACAGCCAAGGCCAAGGAAGTAGAACAACCCAAGGCAACAAAACCCGCACAAAGATATCGTCATGTTCCCACACACGCAGCATGCGATTCAGTCAACGTCGGTCCAGCTGGTGCCCGTCATCACGACCGCTCCAAGGTTCGCGCTGAGAACCGAAAGCGAACGGCAAAAGCCGTTGCTGATGCTATGCACGACAATCACCACATCCAGATGAACTTCCCCGGCTCATCAACGGCGTCTCCCTTCACCAGTGGCAGCTGCAGCACTACCTATCAAACCAGCGAGACTGACTACGATGGAGACATCAGCCCTAGAAGTCACTCTCCAGTGCATCACTTTGAGCCTGCGCACATCTATGAGTACTCTCCTGCGCCAACTTTCCATCATCCCATTTCTCTCAAGGGCAAGGAAGTTGTCCGAGGTCCTCAGTATGGCTTGGCCTACACTGTATCCCCTGACCCCCGGGATCGGCTCTCTGAGCGTTTCCAGACTGGCGTCATGATTTAAGCTTGAACTTGAAGAGACTTCTGCCCCTGGAGGGTGATTTCTCAGACACAATCAAAAGCTACAAACTAAAAAAAAATCAGCAAGGGACTGACTCCCTGCTATCAACCACGCTTCGGCCCAACAAGGTCCATCAACTTGCACCGATCCGTCCACCAAGCTCTCCATTGAGATCGAGCAGGACACGGCACTCAAAGTTTTGAAAGAATGCAAAAGCGACCAACCCAACAAGACAAGGCGAGACCAAGAAACTACAGGGGTCGTCTTGTGGGGGAAAAGCAAGCATTGGATCCAATATGGGGTCCCTCTCGGGCATTCCGATGTCGAGTTTGACACATCTTGGCAGAAATCTTATACTAAAAGAAAAAAAGTACGCCACACTCTCTTTAGACTTGGTTCAGAGCAGGAATCTGAACTGAGCTAAGCCCTTTACTTCGTGTACAATAGCGATTAGACTTTTCTTCTAGAACCTTTCGGGTTCTTCCTTTACTGTACATACTTTTTTAGCGTTTGGCTTTTGGCTGCAATGGCATCAGGTCATTCTTCGTTGGCTGGGACCAACTGAAATGAAACTAAGACAACGATTCACGCTCACATTCTGTTTTCCATCGATCATGATCCTTGTGAATGACATGAAGGCCACTGCTACAGGGGTTGTGATTTTATTACCTAAATGATCAAATGCGATTATTCCAGTTGACTCGGTCTCCAATTGATCTTCTAAGTCGCAAAAGCTTACACTCCCCAGGTAGAGGTAGTAAGGGAGGTTGTATATTTTTATCTCATGTTAGTTTCGTCAGATAATCTGGTGTTGTAAAACATAATCTAAAGTCTCATGTACTTCTTGAGATATGCATCCATTAAGGTATAATGGAATAAATGATCAAACGTGGTTGAGTTATAACTGTCTTCAATTGTTCTAAAAATATTAGCCTCGGCAGTTTCCTACTGGTCATTTCACCACTTGGTCCCTGCCGATCCCTACCATCTTCATTATAGCACCATTCGGCACCTGTAGCTACGTAATCATAGATAAGATTCAACGCCTCATTCATGCTTCGTGGCCTTCTAATGCTGTACAATCACAAGCAGCGCACCGCATTCATACTCTAACATCCTTGCCCACGGGCGCGTTTCCCTCTTTTCTTTTCTTTTCTTTTCTCTTCTCTTCTTTCCTCTCTTTGCGTACGTTACACCAAATAAATTGACATCTCAAATGAGCGAGCCCTAATCCTACGCCTTTTCATCGCTGCATCTCCGCAGTCGCGAGTCGCATCAAACAACCCTCCCCTCCGCCAACATGGCTATCAATCCGCCCGCGGAGTTTCTCAGACCTTTATGGGCTTGGGCTGAAGCTACGCCAGTTTACATTCTTCTGGTCTTGATTATCGCATGTATTGCGCTGGCACTTCTTGAGGTATGCACTGCACTGAACCCCTCTAGGGGCCCCGCGCATCGCAAGCTCACCATTCCTAGCTCTATGTCATCCTCCATCTTGTCGCGCCAAAGCCTCGACCCGTCTACGCCTCCGAAAAGACCTACATCACCAGCCATCCTACTGACGGACGCACACAACCTCAACCTCTCCCCTGCTGGTACGACCGCTGGCTCGCTGAGCGACAGGCTAGCGAGCAGCACATCCGCCCCGATGAAGCATTCCCTACTCCCGATGCTGGAAACATCGAGCCCGCCGAAGTGCGCCTGAGCATCGTCTTCCCAGCCTACAACGAAGAAGATCGCGTTATTCCGACCCTCGAAGAGGCTGTCACTTATCTTGATGAACACTTTGGCCGAACCAAACAAGCTGGGCCTAGCGGAGCGAGTCCCACGACTAAGAGACATGTGCGAAACGCTCCTAAGGAGGATCTTGGCGGATATGAGATCTTGGTTGTCGATGATGGAAGCAAGGATAAGACAGTCGACGTTGTGCTCAAGTTTGCCCAAGACAACGGCCTCCATGACATTCTTAGAGTTGTCTCACTTGCTCGCAACAGAGGCAAGGGCGGAGCGACTACTCATGGTTTCCGACATGTGAGAGGTGAATATGTTCTATTCGCTGATGCTGATGGTGCATCCCGTTTCTCTGATGCTGGTAAGCTCATTGAAGGATGCGAGGAGGTTGTTGATGGATCGCACCGCGGCGTTGCTATTGGAAGTCGAGCCCATCTCGTCGGCAGCGAAGCCGTTGTTAAGGTAAACTAATCATTACGTCTATAACAAGAGTATCAACTAACCCAACCAGCGCTCGGCTCTACGAAACTTCCTCATGCGATCTTTCCATCTCGTCCTCATGATCCTCACACCCCCTGCAACATCGCGCATCCGCGATACTCAGTGCGGCTTTAAGCTCTTCTCACGAGCATCCCTCCCACACATCATTCCCTACATGCACACTGAGGGATGGATCTTCGATATCGAGATGCTTATGCTCGCAGAGTCAGCACCCGCGACACCAGTTCTTGGCCACGATGGCAGTGTTATTGGCACCAGTCCCGGCATCAAGGTTGCTGAAGTGCCTATTGAGTGGCACGAGGTCGGTGGTAGCAAGCTCAACGTCATTCAGGACAGTATCAAGATGGCTATCGGCCTTGCGGTGCTGAGAGCGAGTTGGATGTTTGGTGTCTATCGAAGAAGATTGACATAGGATGGAGATTAAGAGATCAGGATATGAGTGTAAATGCTCAATAGTCAGTGATCATCCCTCTAGTTGAATAAAACACACAGATCAACAAATTCATCGTAGCAAATGAACATGAATGGTTCGACTTTCACTCGCATAGGCCCACAAGGCACAGTAAAGTTCAGTTGCAATTAATATTAATCTTGATATGAAAATCTACTTGTATCTCCCAATTACTCGCCACAGGTAGTATGGGGATCAAGCATGCTTATGTGTATATCTAACAAAAACCCACTCCCGCTCAACACTCCGAAATGCTCAAATGTCTCATAACCACCCATAAAGGGCATATGTACAATCGTCCCTCTGCTCTAATGTCTCCCATTCCTGAAAGAAATATAGATTCATTTTTAAACTCGACGTGAAATTCCCAAGCCAAAGCTCCATAAACGCCGCAGCTCTCACTACTTAAACACATCATGCTCTTTTTTTTCCTTTTTTCCAAATCCCAGATTTACTGGAACGTCTCTCGGTACATGATAGGAAGGAACACAATGCATGCCTTCCAGAGGATGAGGACGGCATCAATGATAGCGAGAGGAGCCTTGAAGATGCCCAGGATACCGCAGCCAATGACGGTGCAGGCGTTGAGCCAGATGGCGAGGAATGCAACGGAGAAGAAGTGGTAGGCGAGGATGAAGGGGCGCTGGAGCATACCAGCCAGGAGAGCGACAGGGCCGTCAGTTGAGCCGCGCTTGAAGTAGTTGAAGCATCCATACTGGAGAGCACGGAGTTGGCGGTCGTTGGCTGCGAACAGGGAGTACAGAGCCTGAGCGAGGACGTTGATGATACCGGTCAAAGGCTTGCGCTTCCAGTAAAGCTGGTCAAGCGCGTTGTTGATGGCCTTATTGTCAGCGAGATCAGATACCTTGCTAGGGTGTAGCTCCTCAGCAAGGATAACAACATCGTTGAATGCGACAGTCATACCACCACCAGTAAGAGGGTGTCGCATGTTCATAGCGTCGCCAAGGAGAATGGCTCCGTTGGCGCGCTGTTTCGTAGGAGGAAGCCAGCTGTTGGGCATGCTTCGAGGGATCTTGCCATCCTCAAGAGCCTTCTCAGCTGACGGTCGGATGCTAGTAGGGAGTGCAGGAAGGACGTAGTTGCGGATGTATCCACGAACACCGCCATTCTCAGGCGAAGCTTCGGGGATACCTTGAGGCACATCAATCAAAGCGCGAGTCTCGTGAGTGCCGATCTGGTAGAGAAGGATAGGGAAGGCATTGCCAATGATGACATGACCGTGGCCAGGTTCAGGAAGATCGCAATCGATGAGCTCTAGAGCGTAGAACTTTGAGCAGACCTTGGGCTTGGTCTTGAGAACCTCCTGGCGCCACTTCGAATCGTAACCATCAGCGATAATGGTCAACTGTCCAAAGTAGTAATCCTTCTCCTTAACACCGGTCTCCTTGTTCTTTGTGCGACTCTCAACACCGAGAATCTGATCCGACACCTCTCCGCGCAGCGTCTTGACAACTTCTGTCTCCACAACAGTGATATTCTTATGGTTTATGCATGACTCTCGTAGCTTAGTGATAAAGCGACCGTGGTGGAAACTACATCCAGATGGTCTCTTATCCGCTGTGCTGTGACCTCCCCAAGCATGTGTGACATTGCCGTTATCGTCGAGACCGGGGTAAGGAACGAGGACCTTCTCGCCGTGGTAGAAGACAGTGTATCCGTAGCAAGGCATGGCGTCGATACCCTCGAGGCAGTGACCGAGGCCGATTTTCTGTAGTGATGCGACACCGCCAGGCTGGAGAAGTTCGCCAACGATGCGATCGGGCTCCGATAGCCATCGCTCGAGAAGGAGAACGGAGCGGCCTTGGTTTGCGAGAGCGTAGGCGATAGTGCAGCCAAATACACCAGCTCCTACAACAACGACATCGGCCTCGTGGTATTGTTCGCGACGGCGAGTCTGCGACTCTGTCGATGTGAGTACTGAAGCCATGGTTGAAATTGTTGGCTGCTGTAGAAGTGAAAGGAAGTCGAGTCGCGGTAGTTGAGGAATTGTCTAACAAGACTTTCGATGGGGAGTGGGGGTCTATTAATCGCGGATCGGGGGGCGGCGAGAAATTGGATGGATTGGCCCTGGGAATTAGGGGGTGGAAAGTGGTCAAAGAGTAGTAAAAGCAGCTACACAGGGCAATGCTTTTATGTGAGATGACACAATATTCTCGCAGATGCTCAGGTGTAAGCCAACAAATAGTTGAATCTTATCTTTTATAAAGGTGAATCGGTTTTCGGGGGCCACAGATCCTGTGACAATGACGCTCTTGATTTTTGGGGGCGAGTGTATAAAAAAAAGTTAGAGGTGAGAAAACACAATTAGATCAATTGAGATGGAATTCTGGGCGATTGAACTGATTTAAACACCACAGACACTTTCAAAGGCGACAATTCCTCTCGTCTGATCACAATTGACCGGATATGCGCCGTTTATAGGGACCCTTTTCCTCTCATTCTCGTGGCATTCATCCTCCAGGATATCAACAAATCAGCCTATAAACCGTCACTGAATGTCATGTCAGGGGCCCAAATTCAAAGAAACGAAAAAACAGAGAATGGACCCTTGGCTAGCATGGGGCGATCCTGGCTTTCTCTCTAGGGCTGTCATTATCGTAGTTCCAGGGGAATAACCCACTGTAAGGTCCCTGGAACACTTCACCCCGCAACGCTGTGGTCTTCCTTCTTCACAGCAATCGCGCCACCAAGACCCGTAGACGCCCTGACCGCTAAAAGCGCAGCCAACCAACGAAGGCGAAATCTTGCGGGCATGGTTCGATGTACGAAAAGGACACCGCCAGGTTCCGGAACTTTTCGCATGTGAAAGACGTCGTCTCATAGAGATTCAGATCGTACGTGGTTCGAACCAATTTCTCTTCTGCCGAGTCCGGTATTACTTCGTTCAGGTTCTCGAAAGAGAAAGAGAAAAATACGTATTCGGAACGCGACTCAGGGTTTCTTCTTTGGGGTCGATGCTTATTTGATGTTCCTGCGTCTGTTTAGCGGCTAGTGGCCAATCATTTTCTGGTTGATGACCTCCATTACCCAAATCTCATGATGACGGGCCAAGTCTACACGAATACGCTGATGCATGTGACACTATCAACCCAAGCCCCACCTGTAATCAATTGATCTAAGAGCAGAGAAACAGAATCACATGCGAAAACAAAGAATCATATCAATTGACATGTGCTGAACGAGAGGGGCTGTTCAACTACATTGAAACTCTTAGAGTATTCAGAAAATAGATAGATTCTTCAAATAATGTTTTGTATTGTTTCTCTTGCAGATAGTACCATAACAGATACCATCATATTCTCATGTTCTCAGGCCACAAAGAAAAGTAAATGTGACCAAGAAGCTGATATTCCCCAAAGCCTCTTCTGTAACCATAATGTCTACGCCATGCCAATGCATATGTCTTCTAACTATACATCTTCTTACCTCAAGCCATTGCTCCTGCTGTCTGCTTCTCTAAATATATTTCATCCTCGGAAATCTCAGGCGAAGGCGTCCTCTCTCGTTTCGTCCTCTCGTGTCGTGCTGTTCGGACCTCATCTATCTTCTGCTGTCGAGCAGGCAATTCGTCCTCAACGATCCTATGCCTCGACTCGCTCAATGCTTGGGGTGTTGAATCTCGTCTTGAAGACAACTCCCAGTCTGTATTCCGCTTATCTTTTGGCGTCTGGCGCCCAGATTGTGTGTCTGGAAAGAAGCCTCCTTCAAATGCCACTGGCTCTTCCACCGTCTTGAAAGCTCCAACAACCTCCTTGGTAACAGCTTCCCGCTCTTGTTTGTTCGTGGCCCGTAAGGACTTGATATGTTCAAGAGCATCGTCAAGACGTAATAGGACTTGCTTATGCGTGTTCTCGCGCCTGTGGTCCCTTGATGCCCTTGATGCCACATGTTTCATAGCCAACTTGACGGATTCCTTGCATTCTTTGCTACCCTGCCACCACTCTGACTTCGATATGAAGCTTGCAATGAGTGACATCAGGTCTCTGTAACGCCCTTGTCCAGTATATGAGTGGATGAGACTGGCAAAGTTGAACTTGTTGTATGCCAGCTCACCCAAACCATTCTGCTGTGCCGCCATTTCGCAGACCTTGATCGCGGCTTCAGGGTTACCCTTCTGAGTGAGAACACGAGCGGCCTTGTTGTATACACTGTCGTGAATGTGTTGACCCTTGGCAAGATTCTCATGGAGCAGATCACTCACATTGTCACCAGCCTCAAGTCGAGCGACCAGCATGGGAACCAAAGCACCGCTAATGTCGTGTTTCCTTATGTATGCCTCATTAATGAGACACGACACTGTGCCCGAATGGGGTCCTTCCAAGTGAATATTGGCGACAACAGCAAGTCGAAGGCATCGTGATGAATCGCCAAGGCCCTTCTTAGTTGCCTCCTTGTAGGCGGTGTAGACACCGCTCCAGTCGTTCTTGAGCGCCAGAGTATTCATATGTTTGAATGCTGCTCGCTCATAGATAGATATCGAGTCACCTCGGCGTTCAGGCAGAGTCGGGGCAATTCCATAGCTGTCTGCCTTTTCTCCTGGCAGGGGCTTGTGAAGGTCATGCAGACCACCTTCACTGGCGTAGCTGGTCAGAAGAGGATCCTTCAGCCAAGGTGCAGAAGTTCGTGCATCCTTCAGCATGCGGACCACGTCAGCTCTCGACAGGTTCCAGTATCTGCAGCACTTGTCGGCAATCTCGTTGAAGAAGATCTGGTCCATTTCCAGGCCACCGTCTTGGCAGAATTGCACCCACGCAACCAGGGCTTGAAGATTGCGGGTTCGGCCGTGCCTATCCATAACGAAGAATGCCAAGGGCTTGTTCAAACTCATTTGGTGGTTGCTGACAAGCTCCCTTACAAAGATGTCCATCTCCGCGGTCGTGTGATCCTTACAATAGATCTTTGTCAGCCAGGAGAGAACATTCTGAAATTGGGAGGATTGCTTTGCTTTAGGCCCGAAAGTCTCAAGTCCAGACGTGACCTCGTCCCATTGTCCCAGTTCAGCTTCGCGTACAATGAATCTCCCACGAAGCTTGACATCAACACCCGAGGCCTTCGGTCTCATCCCGCGGAGCTGGGACATCTCTGCGCTTGCAGTCGCATCATCCCCAGCATCAAGAGCAATCAGGGTAATTCTGCGTCTGACAGCATACTGAGTAGACGAAGAAAATATATCCTCGTCAAAAATACCGCCTTTTTGGAGGAAGGCATAAATCTTCTTGACCTCCAGGAAGTCCTTCGTCTTCCTCCAGTAATGCATAAGTAGCCGAGTGGCCCATTCATTGCGATTGGTATTCACTGCCTCCTTCGATTGAGGCTCAAAGCGTGATAGACTTCGCAGTAGATGCCGCACACCCTCAACATCGCGGTTTCGGAAAAGACTGTCAAGAAAGGGTACGGCTAAAAGACAAATATCGCTGCAAGCGGGACGGACGGCTTCGAGAATGAGTGGGATGGTGCCGTATTCCCGTGAGACTGCTGTGGACTGAAGTATGCGGATGCCTCTTGATAAAATCTCCTGGGCCTCTTCACTCTGTGTTGAGGTCAACTGTTTAAGCATTTTGGCAGCTCTCATTTCTTTCTGTGCACGCTCTTCGCGTGGCAAGTCTTGGGACTCTATCTCCACAAGGAGATTATCCAGCAGTGACCGCGATTCTTGTAGTCCGATCAAGGTTTCATCAAGTGGCTCTGATTTTGTTGCACTAACTTGTCCATCGCTTGCCTTTGAGGTGTTCTCCGTCGTGTATATTTCCGTTGAGCCTGCAATAGCGTCCTTCCTGGCTTTGGTCTGGTGTGTCGCCCGTGCGTCATTCGAGATGGTGCTCGTCCTGGTGTTGGCTGATCGTGTCCTTGGTAATGATGTGGTTGGTAGGCTGATCTCTGGCGATAACCTGATAGAAAGGGCATTGTGGGAGAATGTGCTGTTTTCTGATATTCGTGACAATTCCTTTCGTGCTGCATCCCACTCGTCCCATCTCCTCTGGCGATTCTGAGGCGTGCTTGTTGAGTCCCCATCCTCAGGCAATGTTGTCTCAAAAGACTCTATATGCTCAATCTCCTTCGGGCGCGATAATTCATGCTCCAACGAGTCGATTCTTGTTCGACGACGGCGCACAGCATTGTTGGCAGGTGCGTGCGAGAAATCGTGGGCGATTTCAATTGGAAAGGTTTCTCGTCTACTACTGTAGCTCTCAGCCAGCGCAGCCGAGTTGCGGTTCACCCGCGCAGTATGAAGCTTCTTGGCATTATCGAGTGCGGCTCGAGCGATATTGAGTCGTCGACGTCGTTCTTCAGCAAGGATAATGACTGAGCAGGACGTTGTTAGGAGAACACCGCGGAGAGCGTTAACGGCGACCCTTGAAGGGGCGGGGCTTGGAGTGGCCATTCTAGGCGGTCGTCATCTTGATCCAGACCAATTTTGCCCGAGATCGGCTTCGTGAGGTCGTAGGTTCGTAGGTTGATGTTCAATTCGTCGTCTCGGTATGTCGCTCGCAGTAAATGTCGTGGTGTGATACACAGATTCTAGGCTGAGTGAGATCCAATTGAATTGGAGGATTGGTACGTACCCGCCCAGCCGATGATCGGGAATTCGGGCCAATGAGAGAGCTACAATGGCCAGCAGCCATCAACCCATTTTAGGTCAGCATCCTGGGCCCATATCCAGCTCTAGGGTAAGCAGTTTTTGTAGCATCATCTTTCTTTACTTTGATGTCTCATAGTAGTATTGGTGTTTTTATGAAAGTTCAATGTACCTGATCACTTCAGTTAGTTCCTGATACTATCCATATATTGATAGTTGTTCCAATAGGCCAATACTTCTTGGGTGCCAAGTCACTCAACTGTCAGGGCTTTCTGTATCTCCTGTTCCCTTATTGAGGCCATTCCCCGCCAATGACTTACACCTTAAATAAAACACTATGATGCGTTGATATAAGATTCTTAAGATGCTACACAATCCCGCATGTCAAGGTGCTCAGTGTCGATCTCGAATCACATATCTAGTGGATGCTTAAGTTGTGCCTAATGCAACTTGAACACTTCCCCATGTTCTAAGTCCGTTAACTCCAGCTCTTAGCTGCTTGTTTCGATCAACTTGACAACTGCTGTTGCTGAATAATTCCATGAACCGATCTTGATCTAGACATACTAAGGCAGTTCACCGTCTTAGTGTATTTTGAAAAGCCAATGAGAATAGTTACGTGGGTTCGCTTGGGCTGGTTTACGAGGACTTGTTACTTTGGTTGTATGGATGTCAACTCTTGCGGCATATGATATGCATCTTGCAAGTACCGTAGAAGGTGAGTCAAATTCAATGACCGAGGTGGGAATGAACTCATCACGCAAGCACTAGCTACCTATTTTTAATTCAGTATAGGGTCCGGAAAATCCGTTTAAGTCCAGAAGGTCCGTTCCAAAATGGTATGGATGCATGGTATTGGTTGGAGTTGCCATTTCCATATGATAGATCTGAATATATAAAGTCGGAAGAGAACCTTTCACCATCAATTAGAGAAATACTCACAACTCTTATATCTGATAACATACATCCAGCCACCATCGATCGTTCTTTTGCAGTGACGCCACTGCCGCTGTCACTATCATCACCACTTCCACTCACTGCCCACTCCATCCTCATTATCCCTACAAATCCTCTCCCACCACATCTTTTTACCTCAACCTCATACCTCTTTATTACGACCACTAGCCGCTCATCACAACCAACAATGGCTCTTCCATTTGCACCACCCCCTAAAAGCCCTCTGGGCCGCTATCGACTTTTGTCGCCCACTGCATCGGTTTGGGTGTCCCCTATTTGTCTTGGTACAATGAATTTTGGTAATGCTTGGTGAGATACACATTTAGCGATGCCTGTACTCTAATAACAGTAGTATAGGAAAGAGTGGATGGGAGAATGCGACCAGTCCACATCGGAGTCAATTTTGGATTTCTTCTATGAACAGGTATAAACAACACATGTAGAGCATGATGTGTCGACGATGCACTGATAGAAGAACAGGGCGGAAACTTTATTGACTCTGCAAACAACTACCAATTCCAGGAGACTGAAAAATGGGTGGGAGAATGGATGAGGAAACGCGGCAACCGTGATGAGATCGGTTTGTACCCCCTTCTCGCTCAACACTGAGTCCTGAACTGACGTCTTCGCTCAGTTGTTGCTACCAAATATACCACCAACTTTCGGGCCGGACCTGGTGCTCCTAATATCATGGTGAACTTCACTGGCAACGGATCGAAGAGTCTGAGGGCTTCAGTTGAGGCCAGCCTTAAGAACCTGCAGACCGATTACATTGATCTTGTGAGTGTTTATCTCGGCCGGAGCTCGTAATACTAACAGTACCATAGCTCTATGTCCACTGGTATGATGGCAACACCACTATTCCAGAATTGATGCAATCTCTCAACCAACTTGTGCTCTCTGGAAAGGTCCTCCACTTGGGCGTCAGCGATACTCCTGCTTGGATCGTGAGGTAAGATACCATGTGCTTTCTACGAGTGAACGACTTGCTGAAAACTCCGTAGCAAGGCCAACGAATATGCTCGCTGCAATGGACTCCGCCAGTTCTCTGTTTACCAAGGTCGTTGGTCTGCAGCCTCGCGTGACTTCGAACGAGACATCATCCCTATGTGCCAAGCTGAAGGCATGGGAATTGCTCCATGGGGATCCCTTGGTGGCGGAAAGTTCAAGACCGAAGAACAGCGCAATGCGCGGGAAGGACGAAGAGTGGAGGCCAGCGAGAAGGAGATCAGAACCAGTAAAGTGCTGGAGTTGATCGCTAACCGTAAGAACACACTCATCACCAGCATTGCACTGGCATATGTCATGCACAAGACAAGTTATGTATTCCCCATCATCGGTGGTCGAAAGGTGGATCATCTCAAAGCCAACATTCAGGCTCTCACCCTGCATCTATCCCCTGAGGATATTCAAGAGATCGATGGGGCTAATGAATTTGATGCGGGCTTTCCTAACGATTTCCTATACCGTGGGGGCAACTCTATTGGAGGTCCGGATGTTTGGCTGCTCCAGATGGGCGGCACGTTCGACCATATCCAACCACCAAAGGTGCGTCCTTCACAACCATATACGAATATCTGTGCTGATTTATTGTAGCCCATCTCACCGGCTGCGCGAGGGGAATAGGGCGTCCGCCTCAAAGCGAATTTTTGGCGATGGCTACCAGTTCGGCCTCGATCGGACTGGATGGAATTGGACTGGAAAGAAAGGATTGGCGCTACAGTGATGCCTTCTTATCGATGGTGAACCAGACGGGATTGCTTGTTGGTTTGTTAGATTGGAACAAAAGCGTACAGGTTCAGAATAAGGGGTTATTAGGGGTAATATCACCAGCACAGAAAATCAAAGAATAAATTCGCTTCGCAAAGTCCAGACTATTCTGTTAGAAGGTATAGTTATGTTGTTTCTCAACTGGCAGATGCATACACGCTGATAGGCAACTTTAAATGGAATAAAATGAACGGCAGATGAACACTTATTAATTCTTAAGTAATTTCAAAGACAGGCCTTATTGTTAAAAGGTAGGAGCTGTTCATTGAAGCCTGTGCTGAACAAATGGAAAGTATTAGAAAGGAACTATAGGGGTCAGGCCGGAGTAGTTCCTTCCTTCTTTCCAGACTGCAGTCGGGACGCACCTGGCGTTACCACCACAAATCATAGGCCGCCTCGAAATATTCACCAAATCACTGGAATATGTCTTTTCAAACAATTTTACCCTATATAGAGGTGGACGATAGCCATGTGGCCGGTCATCAAGTCGAATTGGTGACAATGCACCAAATTCTCCACATGGACGATGATGAGACAGAATGCAACCACGCCGTTGGGGTCAGTCGAAAGAGAAGTCGAAGTCAGAGCTGTACATCCTCCTCAAGCTTGGAAGAGCATGATGACATCGCCAGCCCAGAATCTGCCATAGATGAGTTCGCGAACGTTGAATTGTGTGCCTCCATGTCGATCTTCTTCATCGGCGTATTAACTCTTGAGAGTATCCCAGAAACACCTATCCGTCAGCGACAGACAAGTCAGCCCCTATTTGATAGCCCAACAAGCGATGTTGAAAGCCGAGTCAGTCAACTGCAGCTGTTGCCTCTTCGAACATGTCAGCCAACGAAACGAAGACGGATGGAGTCGATTCGCTCTATTGGAGATGCAGAATATACCCCTAACCGACGGTTATCAGGTAAATGCAATCATGACACACTTGCGCTTCAACAGAAAGCTGACTGCCGAAAAGAAATCCAAGAGGGACGAGACGATCAGCAGCGACATGATACCCCACCACCAACTACAAGGCATACGTCTGAGTCGCCTGTAGTGACGAAATTGAGACCTGTTCCTCGAGGAGCTCCTCGATTGATTGAGAAGAAGGGGCAATACACGATCAAAAAGGGAGTCCGAATTCGAGACTACAAACTTCCGGGGCCTTCTCCGTGGTCATGTGCCCTACCATCCAATAGCCTGGAATATCAATGCCGAGATGGATTTGATGTGAAGGAAGTATCACTTGGATATCCTCAACCAATGGTTATTCGGCTACGGGAGGCTGGACACGAACCAACCACCAGAAACCACAAAGGTCTGCAGCCGAGGAGTCCATCTCTTGGGACCACTGAAACTGCCTAGAGATACCTATACGCGGCTGGTCAGCAGCAAAGAACAAAGAACAAACAGTACAACCATTCACGACATTATTTTGAAGCTGCTCCATGACGGGTATCTTGATGTCACTTCCTTTAGTTCGAGAATAGTACAAAATAAATCAATCGAGCCCCGCAACCACCAGAACGCCTTTTTGGATAACAGGACTGTCCAACACGTTCCGCCTATTTCGCTCCCTTGCCCTTGGCTTCGTTCTCACCAAGCTCACGGATCAATACCGATGTCTGTCCGGCACCGCTGTAATCCTCCTGGCCAGTCTCAAAACCAGGGCAAACACCCACGGCAAGATATCTACCGTCGCTTGAGAATGCAAGCGCAGCAACGCTGTTGGGGAATTTCTGGTACTGTTTAAGTCGTCGCTTTGCTTCTGCATCCCACAAAGCAGCAGTGCCATCGCCACCCCCTGAAGCAAATGTTCCATGAACAGGGTGGAAGGCGAGAGCATTTACGGGATAAACAATATCACCATCACCATCTGGCGCTGCTTGTCGGTGGCACTTGAAGGCATATTTTCGAGCCTGGGACTCGGCTGTGTCTTCAAACCACTCAACTGCAACACGACCTTCGATACTGCTAGTGGCGTAGCCGGCATCGTTGGGCATGCAAGATACTGCGCGTGTAAGATATCGCAGTGACGATTCACGTTGTTGCCATGGCTGGAGGTCAGATGAACCAGTTGCGAATAGGTCGACAATGGTCTTCAGGTCGTAGATGTTAATAACACGGCCGGCCATGGCAACCACGATCTTTGTAGGACTAGCAGCCAGCGCATGGGGCTTGCCAGGAAGGGAGACCCTTATGGGAGTGCTTGAAGGGTCGCTGAGGTTATGGAGGTTCAAGCTGCAATCCCAAGACGCGGAGACCAAGATCGCTGATTTCTGTCAGTATGAGTCAATCACAGGGGTTCAATGACTCACAAAACTTTGGACTGTAGGCTATAGATCGCACCGGCGCAGCATGCTTGCTCAACAAGGTCTTCTCGCCAGTCTCCAAGTCAATCCTGTTCATTGTTGTCAGCTTAACGTTTCGGGACGTACCCATTCGCATTCACTGACCTGTTAACACACCAATCCACGCCAGCAGTAAAAGCTTCATTGTCATTGGCGCCGAAGCAAACGTCCAGGACTGGCGCCCGGTGCTCGTATGTGTTGACGAGAGTCGCCTCACCCGCTCCACCTGCGATATCGTAGCAATACACCTTCTTATCCCATGATGAGACAAGGAGCTTGGTTCCAGAAGACGGCGCAAACGCGATCGCCGAGACCGCGTCGGTTGGGGGCGGTGAAAGTTCGTATTGAGTCGCTGGAAATCAATTAGCAAACAGTTGCGCTCCAATCGCAGGTATAGCAATTCAGAACTTACCAGGAGCCATGGCTAAGTATGCTCTTGTCGACAGCCTTGGTGTTGATGAAGTTGTTTACCTTTGGTTCAGTCACGTGGAGAGCTCCCATCATGGCAACGGAAGTCATGGGCGGACCACCTCAGGCGCAGCTGGCGGTATTATGCCCGAATTTTCAGGTACTGCCTCCACTGCCACTGGAACGAAAACGAATGAGCATGGGAACGAGCCACACCCCGCCACAACCCCACCATCATCAATCGAGTGCACTTGCAAAATGTCAAAATTATGACTCTTCCCCTCTACATCCACTGTTGACGTGACGATTTACGACTTGATCGCGCGAGAATCACTACCGATACTATCGCAGGAACAACTCATTAAAATTAGACTTTTGGCTATTTTTGAAAGCCCGACTTGCGATCGTGCGTGCGACGGCACTCGACATCGAAAACCCCCACCTTATTCTACAGAACCCGACCGAACCTCTGAATCCTCAAAAACACCGCCAAGATGTCTGAAAACCAAAATTGCCGTTTTTACGAGGAGAAGTACCCGGAGATTGATAGCTTCGTCATGGTCAATGTCAAGCAGGTCAGTAGCACCCTGATCTGTCCGAAGAAACCACCTCTGACCGATTTCAGATCGCCGAAATGGGTGCCTACGTTAAGCTTCTAGAGTACGACAACATTGACGGCATGATTCTGCTCTCTGAGCTTTCGCGAAGACGTATTCGAAGTATCCAGAAGCTCATCCGAGTTGGTCGCAACGAAGTCGTCGTGGTGCTCCGTGTCGACAAAGAGAAGGGTTAGCATCAACGTCAGGCTGAACTTTGGGCATGGATATTGATTTTTGGGCAGGTTACATCGATCTTTCCAAGCGACGAGTCTCCCCCGAGGATATCGTGAAGTGCGAGGAGCGATACAACAAGAGCAAGATGGTCCACTCTATCATGGTGCATCTCGCCAAGAACACTAAGCTCCCCATCGAGAGCCTGTACGAGGCCATTGCTTGGCCCCTAAACAAGCGATATGGACATGCTATCGATGCCTTCAAGCTCTCCATCACGTCAGTTGGTTTTTATCAAAGTCAAACGACATATGCTAACCTCGAAAAGGAACCCCGAAGTCTGGAACGATATTACCTTCCCCAACGAGGTGGCTCGCGAGGAGCTCAAGTCATACATCGGAAAGCGTCTTACTCCCCAGCCCACCAAGATCCGAGCCGATGTCGAGGTCACTTGCTTCGGATACGAGGGAATCGACGCCGTCAAGACTGCTCTCCGCACAGCCGAGGCCCACAGCACCGAGGACACCCAAGTCAAGGTCAAGCTCGTGTCTCCTCCTCTCTACGTTCTTACATGTTCAACCTTGGACAAGAACGTCGGCATCACCCGCTTGGGGGAGGCCATCGTCGATGTCCGAAAGAGCATCGAGAGTGCCGGTGGTAACTTGACAGTCAAGATGGAGCCTAAGGCCGTCACCGAGAGCGATGACGCTGAGCTTCAAGCATTGATGGAGAAGCGTGAGCGTGAGAATGCCGAGGTTAGCGGTGACGAGAGCATGAGCGACAGCGACGAAAACATCCCTGAGACCATCTAGGTCATGGACAGACGAAGAGTCTCCAGGTCAGGATGAGTCGGCAAGACTGTTAGAGCCATGCCAAAGTAGCCCGCGCACGAGCGGGTTGTTGGACACGGAAAAGGGTGTAATAGAGGGCGTCTGGGAGGCTGAAAGGAAGCATGTATCCCGGAGTGCAAAACATCACTAAAAGTCCAGACTTTCATGTAGTTCTTCCGATGGTAGGAAGTGGCGTCTGAAACGGCGTTGATAACAAACAGTTCTTTGATTACTTGAGATGCCGGTTTTCCATTGTGATTAGTGTGTGTTTTCGGCTTGTTTGCAACGGCATAACTTAGAAGATGATGTTTCTTTATAGTTGTGCTTCTGAAGTTTCATGTTTAATATTGCCTGTCTCGTGTATGGCGGCGGGATGTCGGAACTAGCCGATAAAAGCTTAGACTCAGGTGTAGAATTTCTATACTTGGACTCAAAATCAGCGATAGTCCCACTACAACGTTCAATCTCACAGTAACGGGAATGTTATTCTTTAACGACACTCATTTTGAGCAATAGTTAAAGCTTTAGTGATGGCTCTCGGTTCAGTGTGGGCGCGTCTGAGAGGCAATGGCCAACCCAGCCTAGCCAGATCAACAGCTCTAAGACTCTTTGGATTCGCAACATGGATCCCAGTTATCGCCATGTTCAACCTACACGTCGCGGAACTGACCTTTGTTGACGGTGCATCCATGTATCCGTTGATCAATGACGATAAAGACTCGACGTTACGACGAGATGTGATTCTCAACTGGAAGTGGTCTCCTCAAGAGAATCTAGAGAGGGGCATGGTTGTGACACTACGGTACGAGTAGACCCTTCTCAAAGCATGGAAATAAGCAATTGATGAGAATTAACATAAAGTTATAAAAGGAGTCCGCTACATCCCGAGACAATCGCAGTCAAGCGCGTAGTGGCGCTAGAGAACGATGTGATCAAGACAAAAGCGCCTCATCCTCTGCCGACAGTGAGAGTTCCGCAGGGGCACGTGTGGGTTGAGGGTGATGGACCACCTGGATCGAGTCTGGATAGTAATACGTATGGGCCGGTATCTAAGCAGTTGATTACAGGGAGAGTGACGCATATTGTGTTTCCATTTCGCAAGTTTGGAGCTCTTCCATGGTGGGATCACCAGAGGCCATTGATGGAGTAGGGATATGTGATGTATTATATATACCAAAAGTCATGAAGACATGTATAGACCTTATGATCAACTCAACCTTACATTTAATTATCTGTTTAATCAATCGCCATACGTCAGACTTCATACATGAGACGATCAATCTCATATGATCTCACTGAAGACTCACTGTGAATTATGCGGGTAGAAGTGGCGTATGAGGGGAGGTGAGGTGATATAAGATAACAAACCGAAAGCCCGTTCGGTCATTTCATTTCAAGAAATTCTTTCATTAGCCATTCTTCCATTGACGTACCTAGCGTTGGCTCAACGTAGGTGCGCTGTAAATCTAAGTGTGGTCCCTGATCGGCCACTAAGAAACCGCTGAGCAAAGTCAACTAGAGCCGCAATTCGCGATTAGTTAGCCCAGTAAAAGCCAAGACCAGGTTCCTTCATCAAAATTCTCGAAAACGACATCGCCCAGACTCTCGGCTCTTATCTATTCTTTGCGACCCTGCGACCCTGCGACGCCCGCCCACTCGCCCTCGACGAAACATCGCGATAGAGCGATCCCTCTTAATATTTACTCTTCTCTCTTTCTTGGGGATCCTCTTGTCTTCCTTTTTTTTTGCTTCCGAAGTCTTCCGCCTTGGGCCGTCACCGACTCGTTCAACTGTTCCTCCGATCCGAGTTCGATTCTTTAACCCGGATATGCCCTTGGGTCTTCAACAACAAGATTCTGACCTCGTCTTCGCCCAATCGACGACGACGAACGACGGATCGACGACTGCGGCGAGCGATTTTGCGCCATCCCCCGAGCATCGTCATGCTGCTTGGACGGGTCGTCGCTCGGAAAGTAGTAGAAGCAAGGCCAGTGACCAGAACATGACCGCACAAGATGTCGAGGCCGAGGGGCGGCCACCGTATCTTCATGTACGTTACAGCTACAAGGGTGCTATGATTGCATCGCCAAGCGTTTTCGACCTATTCGTCTTCCAGGTGCGCTAACATGGGACCCCGCGACAGGCCATGATCGCAGGTGGTATTGGAGGATCTACAGGTGATCTACTCATGCACTCGCTCGACACCGTAAAGACGAGACAACAGGGCGATCCTCACGTTCCTTCAAAATACACATCGCTAGGACAGTCCTATTACACGATATGGAGACAGGAGGGTATAAGACGGGGTCTCTATGGTGGATGGGTTCCTGCGCTTGGAGGCTCATTTCCTGGAACGGTTATGTTCTTCGGTACATATGAATGGAGCAAACGATTCTTCATCGATCACGGCGTGCAACAGCATATTTCATATCTCACAGCAGGTAAGGCAGCCCGATGAGATTCACCAGCAACACAAACACTAACAACCCTAGGTTTTCTTGGAGATCTTGCAGCATCTATTGTCTACGTCCCCTCAGAAGTTCTCAAGACACGCCTCCAGCTTCAAGGCCGTTACAACAACCCTCATTTCACCTCAGGTTACAACTACCGCGGTACTGTCGACGCTGCTCGAACCATCGTGCGTGCAGAAGGCGCTTCCGCCTTGTTCTACGGTTACAAGGCCACTCTCTACCGCGATCTGCCTTTCTCGGCTTTGCAGTTCATGTTCTGGGAACAATTCACCACTTGGGCTCGCAAATACAAGCAGAGCCGCGATATCGGAGTTTCCCTCGAGCTTCTCACCGGTGCCGCAGCTGGTGGTCTTGCCGGTGTCATTACCTGCCCTCTCGACGTCGTCAAGACACGACTTCAGACTCAAGTCAACACACCAACAGAGTCCCGACACCCCAAGGACCACCATGCCAGCTCACAAGTTCGACATATCTCCACCTCTTCTCCCAGCACACATCGTCCACGACCTGGTGCCATTCCTCTCGACACCTCCTCCGTCTTCACCGGCCTACGGGTCATCTACCGCACAGAAGGCGTTGCAGGTTGGTTCCGTGGTGTCGGACCCCGAGGAGTATGGACATTTATCCAGAGCGGCTGCATGCTGTTCCTGTACCAGCGACTCCTCCGACAGCTTGAGGTTCTTATGCCCGTCGAGCTGGAAGAAATGTAGAAATCTCCACACATACACATACACCTTGTTCTCACCTTGTCGTTAACTACCTTACTTGCTATGATTTTAAAAACATTTATTCATGCGCGGTCGCAAAAAAGTTTCCTCCCCGCTTCACCCCCACCCTGTATAACTCACGCATTAGAGAAGCGGACTTTATGAGATGAAATGCAATGGACATTTATGTACAGATAGAAAGAGATGTTTGGGGCTGCGGACAGCCGTCATTGCTGGGCGTTGGGAATAGAAGGGAATGACTGATCAGATACATCAGGACATGAATAGAGATGAGAGCATGAAGCATAGAAGCTCTCGATTGGCTTTGCAATTATGACTTTTCTACAAGAAAACATTGCTTAATGACTGCTTCAACGACTCGGACAATGCACTGATAGAGAGAATGGAGTTGAGGACTCGACAATTGCTACATGAAGACCACTTGATAATAATAACGACATTCCAAGCCAACACTTGTTTGTAAAATCAGGGGTATAAAACAGAACTTCAAAGCGCATTAGTAACAAATAATACTTAAACATGGGCCCTGGTATTCCTTTCCTCATAATAATCGTCATAATCGTTCAAATATCTTTCAAATCAAGCATCCGGATCACTATCTTCCACGCAAGGAAGTTCCTCAAAGTCGCTTGCACGAGTGCGTAGCTCATCACGAGCAAGACACACCGCAATAGCGATGGTCAGAGCATTCCAGATCCCCTGGTGTTCATCTTGAAAATCGACTAGGACCTGGAAACTGACATATGCGTCGAATCCTTTGGAGGAATCGGCTGTGAGAACAAGAACTGAGGTGTTGAGAATGAAAAGACCGTAGACCACGGGAGGATGGCGACGGTAGGTGTGCCGAGGAGGAGTTTGGGGTTCTTCGGGTAGAGAGGGCGATGGAGACTGTGAATGGTAAGATTCCCTCGAAAGTATCGTTGTCTTGTGGAGTTCTCTTGCCGAGATACCAGGGCTCTTAAGTCCAGGTTCGATCTTGACAGCGACTTCATGGGTTTCGGTAGTTGAAGTTACGTTTCCGGCATGAGGATGCGAGCCAAGTCGGCTCTTAGCAGGCGTTAGCCACCCCCCAAACGATGTCAACCCATCATCCGGCTCAAGTTTGATTTTCGGAGATGCGAATACACTGGGCTTGAGGACATCCCAGAATTGAGGGTTTCTATCCTCTCGGAGAAACTCTCGCTGAAGCTTTGCGAGAGCTCTCATACGGTTCTGGATGTGCTCAGTGATCTCATTTTCGGGCATTGTCGTGTCTACGACTTCGGTCAGGATATTCGGAACAATTCGTAAATGCAGGTAGTCGCCGTCCTGTGCTGCCCAGCTCAGATACTTGTCGAGTTCTCGTTTGATGAGTTGTGGTACTTTTTTGTGAAGGCCGCTCTGGATACTTGTCCTTGTCTTTGCTGTGAGGTCTATGAGACGAATAAGAGCCGTTGTTGCTATATACAGTGAGCAACATAATCCATGATGTTAGGATAAACATACCTCGAAAGTCCTTTGAGTGAGCATAGATGATAGGAGGGAACTCATCCGAAGTCTGAAAGACGATATCTGATATGGGGACTCCTCGCAAATCGACATCCCATGTTGTAGGAAGCATGGGTAGATCCTGTCGCATGTACAATATCTCAAAGAGTCGCTCTTCAGCAGGAGCCCAGCTACTGGCACCGGGATATCGCTCCTTTTCCAGCTTCATTAATTCCTCCATGCTGATAGAACAAGTGATTTCTTCATCATCTTCTTCATCGATGGATAGGAAGCTGAGCTGAACATCTTCATCATATCTCGTGGGACTCGACACCTTGTGAGTGTCTGCATCATAGTTGAGTCTCTTACGAGGTGAGACCCGAGTCGTCGGACTCAAAGAACGCTTTGATTTGGTGTGTTGTTGCATCTTGGGTGTTTCTGGAGCATTCGGGCGGTTTTTATGACTTATTGCTCTTGTTGTTTTGTTTTTATTGTGGAGAGAAAGAATAGGATTTGTTTTGTGTTGGTGAGAAGGAGTTATTGTTGCACTGCGAGTACCCGTGAGACAGCTGAGTTGGGGAGATGTCACTTCAACCCAGGCCAATGGTTTTGGCTTAGCGTGCCTTAATAAGTAGATAGGAAGAGATTTTAGGTGCTAATATAGCCTCTATTAATGTGAAATCTTTAATATTATATTCCAGTCTCAAATATGACCTTGTGAGGTGAAATGATATCTACCGTCTTACACTGCTGGATGCGGGGCGTGCACCTATCACATCTCTGATCCTCGCACCCCTCTCGGAAGTTCACTTTCGCCGTTGAAGCCAATCAGAGCCAGTCATCGAATTTCTTCACATCCCAAATTCAACTGTCGCCAACCACCTTTGAAAGGGCAAAACGACGACCATGGCCGAGGTAGCAAAGACGGTAGCTCGCCAATTGCCCGGCTTCAAGCTGGGTCAGAAGCAGGTTTTCCTGTAAGTGCCTCTAATCCATCTTGCTACCAATTCTAACATCTCCAGGCCAAACCATGTAATCACCTTTCTTCGAAAAGATCACCTCCCACCAAACGAGGCCACTTTCCAGGTCCCTCTACGATTTACAAAGTTCGATCTCCGAGATTATCTCTGGAACCTATACAATGTCGAGGTCACAAAGGTCCGATCATACGTCAAGCAACAGCCTCTAACCCAGCGCAACTCCCACTCGCGCTCGTGGTACCGCCCCAAACCCCTCAAGGTCATGACTGTCGAATTGGCAAAGCCCTTCCAATGGCCCGAACTTCCTGAGGATAAAACACCTTGGAGCAACCAATTGTTCCAGATGCGCGAGGATATGTTGGAGAAGCGAAACCAGGAGCATATTGCGCAACAGCGATTCGAGATTCCTCTCAAGAGCAAGCAACTCATGTCGAAGGAGAGGGAAGAGTTGGCCAAGTTGGCGCAGAAACTGTTATCGGGAGAGGAGAAGTGGACCAACGACGTTATTCTGGATCCTAAATGGGAGAAGATTCTGGGCAAGGAGGAAGCAGAGGTTAAGAAGGAAACAAACGAAGCTTAAACGACTACTAAAGGCAGATTACGACCTGAAACTGCAGGAAACTGCTAATGAAAGAGGCGGCAATTCTATAAGGAGCCACGGATGATGGACCTCTGTAGGATAAGTGGGCATCACAACTGTACATTATTGTAACTAGTCTTGGATGGGCAATGCATGGAGAGCGGGTTAAAGACTATGAGCGCAAATATAGACGCTGAAACCTCGTATATTCTTTGTCTCATTGTTCTATGTCGTGCCAGTGTTCGGGCTGTTGGAAGCGCAAGACTTCATCTCCCCAAGCCCACCAGCCAGCAGTCAAGTTACGAGCAAAGATCTCAAGGCCAAGACATTCTTTCCCAAGGACATCTTGAAAGAGACCGCGAAGATTGGGCTTTCGTGAGTGGACATCAGGGACTGCCACGATGACTTTGGACTCGAGGGCATCTGGCTTCTTGCTTCCGATGCGCTTCGCTATGATGATCTTTTCCCATGGCTTTCTCCATGTTGACTCAATGTCGTAGAGCGGTTCACCTGATGCAGCGACTTTGAGCCACGACCATTCAGTTACAAGCTCGAGACCCCAAGCAGCAAACAGTCCTGATGGGGAAGTAAGAAAGTCGTGGATACTGTGTTTATTAGTGACCCAGACAGCAACGAGTCCATCTGATGTAAGATGAGAAGCTAGAGGAATTTGTAGCAAGAGGCTGCGCATCTGCTTGAGATTTGAGACAGTAGCATACTTGTCTGTCATTCTCCTGGCAGATCGATTTGGCCATGGGGGATCTAACACAACAAGATCAAACTTGGGAGCTGACATGTGAAATGAATCACACATAGCCTCAATAGAGCCATTAAGAGGTTCGGCTTTATCTGGTATCAAAGGCGGCAGAGCGGATACTGACGGTGGTTGTTGTGGCTGAACAAACCGGTCCCGATGGAAAGGTCCAGAATATGAGTATGTGCCGGCAAGGTCCTGTAAGGCGCTGCTGACTGTTTCAGCGGTCATAAGTTCAGCCAACTGCGCGCCAGGAGATGCAGTCGCAAATGCCGAGTGATCGCCTCCTCCATGCCGGGGCTCCGGGGTCGGATACGGAGTTGCGGGGGGCTCTGCGGAGACGATGCGGCGGCGGGGGATCTGAGACGGGAGAACCTGGCTCTCTTCTAGAGACGTGGGGATATCTAGAACAATGAGGCTCTTGTCTGGACTCTCAAAGAGAACAGAAGAGATTCTGTGGCTGTTGGCCTCCATATCTGACCCGGATGACAATTCTTCCACCTGGGACTGCTTTTGCTTAACCCGCGGTTGAAAGAATAAATTCGCGGCGAAGGTCGGCAAACCTCGGCTCGGTTATTGATCACCGGGACCGTTAAGCCTCGCAATGCCCTGCCCTGTGAATCTGCTGAGAAACGACAAGTTTTCAGTGGATTATCAGCGCATTAAACCACTGAAATGACAAGTCTTGAACCCCTGATGGCCTAATTCTTCTTATTTTCTAGGGTTCTGGGGGATCTCCATTTCCGCGGGCGTGACCAGCTTCCCTAGGTCATTCACTTGTAAAAAACTTGTGGGGGGCCTGTATTTGCCCACTGAGCATCGGTTTAATGACGTCCAAGCCGCCTCTGACCGGGGAAATTCTGCCGCGCCGCATGCCGGTATCATCTCCAAAATCCTCCCCATATCCGAACTTCTTCATCCTCCCCGCAAAACCTGTTTCTACTCTACCAACTTTTTGACAAGATATCATCGAATACCTCAGTCGCGTTGGCTTCGAATACCGATCCCCATTCGACTCTGCCACGGCATGTCGCGCCCGTAGGCCTCGAATCCGTTCAACAAGGTCAGGCACGTGCTTCTGCGAATCTCGGGGCGATGTCCTCTGCCGACGCTGCTCAAATGGAGCATGCCTCAATGGCCGATGTTGCGCGCAATAGAAATATCCAGAGCCAAGTCTCTTCTCACACCCTCAGCAAGTCGCCAAAGGAGCCTGCTTTGTGTCCTACGGACCAGGAAGCAGTAGCACCAAAGGCACAAATGAATAGCTTGGAATATGTCTGGAAATCTGGAGTTGCGGGTGGTTTAGCCGGCTGCGCTGTAAGTTTGTTGAAGTCGAAGACAGAGGTCTCCAGAAGTTTCTGACTGTTTGAAATAGGGTAAAACTGTCGTTGCGCCGTTGGATCGAGTAAAGATTCTCTTCCAGGCCAGTAATCCACGATTCGCAAAATACACAGGATCATGGGTTGGTGTCGCAAGCGCCATGAAAGACATTCATAGATATGAAGGCATCACTGGACTTTACCGTGGACACTCAGCGACCCTATTACGAATCTTTCCTTACGCCGGTATTAAATTCCTCGCATACGAACAAATTCGAGCCATTATCATCCCCGATAAACATCATGAGACACCAATGAGAAGACTACTCAGTGGAAGTTTGGCTGGTGTCACTTCCGTCTTTTTCACATATCCTCTAGAAGTTATGAGAGTACGACTTGCTTTCGAGACTAAGCGTGATGGCCACTCTTCTTTGTCGTCAATATGCCGTCAGATTTACAACGAGCAACCCGTTCAGAAAACAACGACAGCTCGATTACCTAATGCCCCTGCGCCGGTGACAGCTGCTGCAGAGGCAACAGCAGCGACAGTTGGAGCTATTGCTCCTCAAACAGGACTTATAAACTTTTACCGAGGTTTCGCTCCCACTGTCATGGGCATGCTTCCATATGCGGGCATGTCTTTCTTAACTCACGATACTGTTGGTGATATCCTCCGATCGCCACGTTTTGCGAAGCACACGACACTACCGAAGAAGCCAAACCACCCCGAAGGAAAGCCAGCGCCTTTACGGTCATGGGCAGAGCTTACTGCTGGTGGAATCGCAGGTTTGATCTCTCAGACGGCATCATACCCTCTTGAGGTGATTCGACGACGAATGCAAGTTGGCGGTGCCGTTGGTGACGGTCGTCGACTTAGGATAGGAGAAACTGCCGGCATGATTTTCCGAGAGAGGGGTATTCCTGGTTTCTTTGTTGGCCTTACCATTGGATACGTCAAGGTGTTCCCAATGGCGGCGGTCGCTTTCTATACGTATGAGCGCATGAAACTCGTCTTTGGCATATAGATGTATTTGAGTACTACAGGACCATTGGAGGTTAGGCTTGATTGGCGTTGACGGAGTCATTGCGCGGAATGGAAGCGGAATTGCACATATCTTTTGGGACAGGTCTTTGATGAAGTCGAATAGGGGCATACGGCTAGGTGTACATACAACAAGAGTACAATACTTTGTGGCTTTACCAAGAAGGTTTTCACGTGCGAAAATCTATCTATTTCCATTCAATATCCGAGAATAAAGGCCCTTTTTCTGTTTCATGGCGGTGCCTTTGCCACGCGCTATAAGATGGGGCGGCGGCCTCGGGGTATCTTTGTGGTGTAATTTGTTCTGAAAAGCGCCCCTTTTCTCACTCTTACTAGATCTGGGAACCCGACGCCCTTTGAGCGTGGGATGTCGTCGTATTACTTACTCATCTAGTTAGGAGTTCACCAGACCAAACAGCCGGGGCGAGTAAGTGATCTGCACGAACTGGCTTAACGTTGTTGAGAAAGCTAATGCATATCCCGGGTATGGGATCGCAGTTTACGGTTATAGCTCGCCCGCACGTGCCAGGCTTCCACGGATTTTGGATGTCATATTCTGGTTGTGCGGACTCGAAGTGGATGGGGCGTGAAGCGTGGCCGTGGCGCCAAAGTGCTGCTGTTTGGCTGGATGCGGACTAGAAATCGTGGGTGGGCGACGGCTTCTAGAAGTTGGGGGTTAGATCGATGGTAAGTATACAGTACTTCTGAGTGAGTTGAGCATGGGGGTTTTAGGTAAGTCATCCGTCGATGATTAGTGTTTGTGATCCCTGGATTTTAGAGTCTTTGTGCTTAGACGTCGGAGACTGCGGTCAATTACGAGGAGATGGAAGTGAGCTATGAATTGGCAAGTCTAGACGGTATCATCAATCTGATAGACTTTTTCCTCATATCTTTCCAGCGAACGAAAAGCTGCAATGCGTTCTATGACGTATCTCACATGCATTTCCATGGTGTTGTGGCTATACCGGCAGTCGAAACAGAGTTAGAAGTTACTCAAGAGAAATAAGACAACTTACCAATCAAAAGATCTTCATGCACAGTAAGCACGCCAAACATGCATAGACGAGTTACAACGTAGTAGGCGACATTCAACTACAGTCACATGAAATGTTGTTCAAATAGCGTCCTGACTAACAATACTCCCGACTAATTTACCCTAGGGCGGGCGAGTCGAGTCAAGTCAAGTCCGGGTATGACGGTAATAACGGGTCAACGTCAACACCAACCAGGAACATGATCTACTTGATGCACACAATACAAAACATGGGGGCGTCCAGTCGCATCATTCTACAGAACGTGGATTGGTGCTGATACTGCTGTCAATTGACGTTGAAGTTGAAGATGAGTTTATAGATCGCTGATTGGTCACATATCTGCTTGACCAATGACAGCACGGCATAGGTGAAGCTAAGTGAGCTTGCCAAAATTCCAAGCGCAGCCTCAGCCTCAGCCTTTCATCTTCACTTCATCAAAGCTCCACCAGCAACAACCACGCTAGGCTCTCGACCCGCGAAACACTTGGAATATACTATTCGTCAATTGTTGTTTCTTGATCAACATAAACACATAGAGTTTCTTCCAGCCGTGCTCCTTATTCCCGCGCGTCCATCTTCATCATGGCGTCCGCCGCCGACCTCGACGGACTTGTGCTCCTTCGCCAATCCATCTCCTCCAACGCGCCCTTCATCCCCACCGCATCAGCTGATGCTTCTGCGACCGAAGTTCATCTATCTCAGGCGACGCACTTGCGATTCCCCGATCGAGATGTCGCCGTCCCTATCGATAACCCGACGCGCTTTGTGTCGCAAGACAAGCCCGTAGATCTGCGCAGTATCTACTTTGCTTGGCTGAACCGCGAGGTCGCTATCCCTGAATACAATGCTTCTTCTACAAAGCTCAACGAGGAACTTGCTGCGGCTGGTGGCTCGGGGAAGGTCCAGAACTTGGGTTTCATTGAGCGTCTGGATTTGATTACCTGGCTTGAGGGCGCTAGCGAGGAGAGCGAGTATATCAAGCCTTTGCCTAGCGACAAAGATGCGGCGGCTGCTGGCGCGACAGCAGCTGCGAAGACGGGCGCAGTGACCTCGATTGCTCAGTCGCGATCTGGTCGTGGTACTATGGACCCGAGACTGGCTGGTATCTACAATAGCGAACGGAAGATGGGCGATCGCAACACCGTTTTAAGGGGCATCAAACCTACGGCAAGTCCTTGTAACTTGAGAAATTCCTGACCTTTATCTGACCTCGCCAGGACTTCTCCCATGTTCGCAAACTTGCTGCGCCTTTCATCCAGAAGAAATACCAGCCTAGCTCCAGCATCCCTACTAACCCATCCCTCGCCCTCAACCAAAAACCTCCTACAAGACGGCCAGACCCTATCATTCTCCTATCTCCTTCTGCTTCTTCTTTGCTTCGCCTATCAAACGCTCGATCGTTCCTCGAGGACGGCAAGTTTGTGCCTACTGATGCAGGCAGTGCGTTAAGCAACATGCTTCATGTGCAGCGTATCATCCCCTCCATTGATCCCAACCGTCCAATGCGTTTCATTCTTGTAGAGGGTCCTGAAGCGTTCAAGCCCGAGTACTGGAACAGAATCGTGGCGGTTCTGACCACTGGCCAGACTTGGCAGTTCAAGAACTACAAGTGGAGTGACCCCAACGAGCTCTTCAAGCACACACTGGGCATCTATGTCGGTTGGCGAGGAGAGTCAGCTCCGGATAATATCCGCAACTGGGGTCACCGCGTTCTGTCTACAGGCATTGACCGATGGCGAGGAGAGGGCCACGATGCTTCGCGATTCCGTGATAAGGAGATCGTGGAACAGATCTGGCGGGCTATTGAAGAGAACATGCGGTACAGGGGTTGGAGAAAGGACAGGGCTCCCTCATCGATATAGTCGAAGGACTCACATTTCTACTGTACATGAAGTATTGCTAAGAATATGAGGCTCATTGTGGATAGTTGCTTCACAAAATGGAGCTATGATCCAAATGGGAGAGAGAAGACTTGCATTCCCGTCTGTACCGAACATGCCTGCAGGATGGCGAGGTACAGGGGATTAAAAGCGATGGCGTTAGAACGGTTTCTTGCTATGTAGACATATTTATCTAGTCTAGTTGTACGATGTGTGGCGAGTGGTATACAGGATTTCAGAACCTAGGTCAATTGATATTTCGTTTTCACAGCGGGTGTCAGTATAGCATCAGCAAGTGTTGAAATGCTCTCATTCTGAAGTCAGACGTTATCCTGTGGCTACTGTAGCGTCAACGGCATGCAAATATCGTTTCAACGACTCTGACTCCCGCGATACCGAACTCTCCCCTCATTGTCAACGATGATACCCAAGAAGCAGCATCGACTCGCTGACATGGAACTGCATCCTTTCAATAGTTTACTTCCTCTACAATAACTGACTGGACGGTCATATATCAGTTGACACACACACTTCTCTAGCTAGTCAACTCTATCGCTCACCGAGTCAAAGCTCTCCAAGCAAAGCAATGCATCGCGAGACCAGTCACAACATATCGTTTTGCCCAGATCCTACAGGCTGAAAAGGTTGCAGAAACTACCGTAGCTACGCCCGCAACGAAGACCCCAGCAGCTATATGACAGCGACTTGTCTGTGTCAGTATGCAGCGGCAAGTAGGGCTTGACCTTGTCGATCGGCACTGCACACCCCCAAGGCAAAACCTCTTGGCCTAGAGCTTCTATCCAATGTCGAGCTTGAACTTGGGGGACCGATATTGATCTAAAAGCCTTCAGCTTATTCCTTGGGCTGTTCCCCACACAAAGCCTGCTGCTGACGAGTCCGGGGAGGTCAAGAGATGCAGCACACGAGTCAGTCATTTTTCTTAGGTCCAAGATATTCCCGGGCTGACAGACTGGGAGATCGTCATAAACTCGTGCAAAAACGTGTTCAGAGCTATGTATCAGGTGGTCACTAGGTACGCTCGAGTCAAGCCCCAGCAATTTCATCCCGCTGGTGGTCAAATTCGAAGACCCTGGCGCATATTTAGCTATTTGTGTCTTAAGGCAATGATAAGAAGTAGCGTAATGAGCTCTTAGCCACGATACAGGAGTCGAAATCCCTTCAGTGAGCACAGCCACGAAAGACCTCCCATAATTACATTATTGTTCACCGCACATGAGGTAGTATTCAACATGTTGAATAGGAAATGCTCCATGGGTTAAGAGAAATGGCGCCTAAGCATTGTCCACTTGGCGGCCGACGGCTTCTAGTGAGTGGAATCGCACGATGAATTCCCGCAGTGGGTGGACACGCTTTGAAAAGAGGTTGAGCACGGATTTCAGCCCGAGAAATAGGGGCACTTGCTACAAGTTTGAAGCAACCATTCATAGGAGTTGGATCACGCGGCTGAGAAATACAACCTCTAGCGTCCTATAGCGACATGCATATCTTGTATACCAAGATACACACATCAAAGAGCCAAGATGCAATTGAGACCTGGAAAACCAATCCCGAATGTTGGTTCCCGTCTACCAGATCGCCCGCTAGTCGCGTACTGTTGCCCGCAGGGCTATTTACCAGGCCTCGCTCTATGTACAAGGGCGTATCCTAGCCTGCCGTGCTGTAGTCATAAATAGTTCGCCGACTAGAGACTCGTACCTCCGTAGCCTGACCTTGCTCGTTGTCATATCCGGTGGAGGGACCATATAATAGATATGGTATAGTTACGCTTGCACTGGAGTTCGGGGTTCGCCGTGTCTAACCCTGTACTCAATGCCGATATGAAGGGCTCATTACAATGCCGACAATTTCGTAATCACCAAGTGCCGTACCACAGGGGCTTCCGTCAGTACGCCTACTAGCCGTCTAGATGGCGATCGTGCCAGACCGTTGTCTCTGTAGGCGAACCAGGATAATGGTAGGGCTGGAGATATGAGCATGAATCTACTGGAAAGCTCAGATTTGTGTTACACGTGACCGTTGATCTGCTACGAAAGAGCATTCATCGGGCAGCTGCATCCGCAGCTAGGCCAGGATCTCGAGTCAGAGCCTCTGATCTGAGTGACGGGAGTTGAAGCTGTTGGTTGTCTGATCTGATGTTTTGAATAAGACGGGATTGTCTGCATGATTTTGTGGATATCGTCATCCCGGAATGGTTAGACGGATCTGTTCCGTGATCGCTTACCTCGTGCAAGACACATGGCAAAGTACATTGTACCCTCTCGCGTGGCAACTTAAAAGCAGCATGAACAGGGGGATCGAATCAGATTGATTTGAAACCCTGCAGTTTTTCAATTTTCGCAAATGTTGTTGATAGGAGCATTTGGCGAAACAATGCTCATGATACACAAGTTCCGTGACTCCACGAGAAGGCTGAATGTTTCGTTGACCGGATTGGGCGCTTTGTTTACGATTTCGTACCCAGGTACTCCGTAGAGTCCGTAAGTGCTGGATGTACGGTGCATGTGAAACCTTGACTATTGTGGACAAGTCCAACGACGAAACTTCCACCGACGACTGATGCGTCATGCGGTACTCAATTTGGAGTTCCAAGGCGTTTCGTCGTGGTCTATAGCTCTCAATGCAGGAAAGCAACTGAACTTTGGATTGAAAACGTCAAGTCGAACCGCCCTTCCCAGTCTAAGCCTTTCATGCACGTCTTCCACACAGCGGCATGTTCATCTTCTGATAACCAATCGTTCCCAACGATAAAACAACACGCACATACTATGTATAAGGCCAACCAACGAGAAGTCAACCCGAGACCTTTGAAGGGAGCTATAGTGGATCGCGCGGTAACACAACCAACTTTGACGTCGGCAGACTCTCGGATAGCGAGGGCCTAGAAGAAGAAGAGCGGCAAAATCAGCGGTGACGCCTTGACTGAGCGTCGACTAGTACCGGTACAATTGGTGAGTTGAAGAGCCTCGCTTGAACTGCCGTGACAAGTTTCCGGGATTGTTGGGCTGATATGAGGCCTAGAACGTGAGCATGATACGTAGGTTACAGTGAAGAAAGAAAAAAAGATGCCTAAGCGACTCCACAACTTGGTTGTGACAAACGCGTGGCTCCCTCTAAACCCACGTGGCGGACCCTGCCAGAACCAACCAGGTAATACTGCTAAAATCACGCCTCACACCCTCTTTTTGCTTTTCTTTGTTGTTGGTGTTATTGCTTCTTCAACTGGGGATCTCCAAATCGTCAATACCGCCACTTTATTACCTCCTCTCCGGTACTGGACTTAGACAGCGCTGATCGCTGACAAAAGTGTGAAATGCGCGCGTAAACGCGTCATATTTTGTCAGGGATATTGATAGCCTTGTTGTCCATACCGCTGTTCGAGACTCAGCAAATACCCATTTGATCAGATCATATATCCACAGAATAGAAACAATAAAGCGGAGTTGCGCCGTCGTGTACTCCGTACGTATTTGAGAGACAGTGTTTCGAAGCGAAGGAGGGGCCCATTGCTTCGTATCTGTATGGCAGTTTTACGTGCAGCGGATTCCTTGCACGGCACGACAAGCTCAGTCATGGAGCCACGTGGGAATGCCGACAGGGTTGGAAAGGTGACCAGTTACTGTCACAGTCACACCAAGACACTTGAGAGCCCTGATCAACTCGAACCCTGCGTCCCCAGTTTATACCCGCCGCGCTCACGAATGAGCCATGAATCTGGTGATCGTGGCTCAGGTGACTTCGTGATAAGAAAAGGATTGGCTAGCTTTGTCAGCCTTCATCTTCAGTTGCGTTGCGGTGTAAGGATGATGAATGTCATGAGTATTCATCCTCATCTGCCCAGCCTGACTGGCCATCAAACCCGACTATTCCCACTCTGACAGCTGCCTCGGCTCACCCACCCACAGTTGGGATTGCTTATTACCGTCAAGGGTTTCGTAACACTTGTGCTGTTTTGTGAATGATGAGAAACCCCCGAAACACACCTTATCTTGCGTAACAGCATCCTGCTTGCTTATACATAACAGTCACTGTAATATGTAAGATGGGATGACATGCAGAGTTTCTTGATTCCATGTCTACATACCTTTCAAACTTGACACTGCTGTCGCTTCAGCATAGATCCATCAGGCAGTGACATCAACGTGCAGTTTGTCTCAACACCATCAGATTTTGACGATTCAATCCGACATTGATGAGGCTTGATAGACAGGCTAGACAGGGTCGGTTAACGGTTAATGATAACCGTGCCACTGAGCAGCACCTAGTCATTACCCCTGTACTGGGCTTGAATAAGTGACATCCTAAGAGTCAGCATTGTAAGCGGTAGATGTACCCGAGCGAAGGAATGTATCAAACAAACTGACACGGAGATAAAGGACAAATGCAGTTATCTTATCCCCAAAAGGCGCAATCGGAAGCTACGGTTGTGAATTGATGGTGTTGTCGTGTTCCTTCTCTATGTAATTATGTCCTGTCGGCTTTTAGCTTCCTTCCAATGGATGGCCGTCTTGAACAGCCACTCCCAATGCTTTGCTCCTTCCTTGAACTAGTGGAGGCTACTTGGGAAGTTACCAGGGTCCTGACTCCCTTGTTGATCGCCTGTTCTTTAAGGCATTTCTGAAACCTGGGCCACAGTTCCTTCACCTTGATCCCGCACGCATTCTCCATACGAGTGCTGAAGATTGCGGATATCCCATCTTGTTCAAGGTTACGTCGCAAGAGGAGATCAGCTGATCTAACGGCAAGACGACCGAGACGCTTTTCATCGGCGACAGATTGCTTGGCTCCTGGACGGAATTTTGAGTCGAGTTGAATTGCTCAGCCAGTCAAGATCCAAAGACCCTGGTCCTTGCCGCGGAGAGGAGTTTCCAGAAACCTTCTAGAAGAAGTGAGCTCGGAGCGAAAGAAGCTGCAGTGCTGCGAATCACAATTTCGCTTCGGCAGAGACAAATGCATTGGCGTTC